GTACCAGACAGGTGCAATGTATACACCTATTGATCCAATGTTACTGAGATCAGGCCTGCATTGTGGGCCAAAACAATGAGGCAGAGAAAAAATCTGAGATGGGTAGAAGGATAGTGAGGTATGGGATTGGCTAGTTAGGGTGAAAAACATCTAGGTAAAACACCTAGGCACCTGGCTAACATTTGGAAAGCACTACGTGCCAGACACTGTGCCAAGTGTTCTACGTCTGATCCTCACAACAGCCCTAGCAGGTAGGTGTTATTACATTATCATTTCACAGATAAGGAAACAAAGGCAAATAGAGGTCAAGTGACTTACCCAAGGTCATATAGCTATTAAGTGTCTGAGGCCAGATTTGAACTCTGCTCTTCCTGACTCTAGGCCTAACACACTACAACTAGAGTCAGGAAGACCTGTCAAATCCAACCTCAGTCACTAGCTAGGTGATTCTGGGCAAACAATTTCTATTTGCCTCAGTTTCCTCAATTGTAAAATGAAGATAATAATACCACCTACCTCCGATGGTGGTTGTGAAGATCAAAGAAAATATTATTTGTAAAGTTTCTAGCACATAATAAATAGGTGCTACATGTTGGCTATCATCATTATTCTCAGTTTCTATTTTTAAGTGACCATAATTTATGGGAGGACAAACCATGGTAGACATTGTATTCTTTGTTCTCCCTTAGGTTTCTTCCTGAAGAAAAATAATTTTTAAATGTCAATGTCAAGAGGAAAGCTTCCTTCATAGGAAAAAAAACATTGCTGAAATTGTAATTTACCATCTTTTGGACTGTAGAGAAAATAAGATAACTGAGATAGAAGGGAAAAAGAAAATGAAAGGAAATATTACTATAGTTTAAGTGGCTGATCTAAAGTTTCCAAAAACTTAAGGGCATCTTTCCTCCTCTAGGTGCTGGTCAAAAAATTGATGAAGTGGTCAAAGAAGAAGCCAAAAAGTTTGAAAGACTTAGGACCTTTTGATGAGGCAGCATGAATGCACAGGTGTGGGAGGTGGGAGGGGAGGAAAGAGAGCTCGGTGAAGGGAGAAAGAGACAGGAAAGAGAGAATGAGAGGGAGAGAAAGGGAGGAGAAACATAGAGAGAGGGAGGGAAAGAAAAGAGAGGGAGAAGGGGGGGGAGAGAGAGGGAGGAGAGATTTGTGTTATGCGTAAATGCCATATGCATATTATCTTTAGTCTTTGAGTTGCTGATAAAAACGTTAAGGGGTAAGACAAACATAGATCCCTTAACATTCCATTGAAGATCTCCTTTAAACTGACACTAGCCCACTAGTGACCATTTGACCAGTTCCAAATTTACCCAAATTCTGTTATTGTCTCGTTCACATCTTTCTACGTTTTTCATAAGGAAAGCATGAGGCACTTTTATCACAGATCTGCAGCACTCCTCTGATCTACTATGTCTCTTGTCAAAAAGGGAAACGAGGTTACTCGGCACTCCCTGTCCTACACTGCCTGTGTGTGACTTGGCTGCCTCTTTACTATCATGGTCTACAACTTTGTCAGCAATTGAAGTCACCTTCACTAGCATGCAGAACCTATTTTCTCTTTTAAACACTGGGAAAACATTTGCCCCTTTCCAGTTCTGTAGTACTCCTCATTCTCTGGACCCTTTCAAAGATCACCAACAATGACTCAGTAATGACATCTGACAGTTCTTTCAACAGCTGAGGATGCAGTTCCACTGGGTCAGATGACTTGAATTTGTCACGGGCAGCGAGGGTGCTAGCTCATTTCTATTGGGTATTAACTACCTGGTGGCCATTTTGGGTTTTGTCCTTTCCAGTCCCAAAGCAGAAAGAAAACAGATCAAATTTGCATAGTTCTACCTGAATGGTTTTGACTGTTATCATCACCAGTCCCCCTGCTCACAGCAGTCCTGTCCCTTCCTTGATTTTCCTTTGTTCCAACAAGACTAAACATGCCCCCCCCCCCCGGTCTTCTGGCCTCGCCATTCCTTGCCAGGCTCAGTGTGCTGCACGTTGGCACACCTGACGGTCTTCTTTTAGAGCCCTACCATTTTTGTACTTGTTACCTGTTCTGCTTTCTATTTTCTGTACCTGCCTTTGTTGAAAGGTGAATTTCTGAGACTAACTAGTTCCATAAATCTCCTTTCTCCCCCCATCAGAACTGCTTCCTTTTGTGTTTCATTTCATTCTTGAGTTCCTACCCTAATTAACCAATTTCCCTCATGGAACTTAAGTCAGTGGAATCTCATTGTTCTTCTGTACCTTTTGCAATCCACACTCCTCAAACTTAGGGTGCATTTAAGACTTGCCTGGAATTCTTCTCTATTACAAATTCATGGAAAGGAATGATTACTTCCCCTTCAGGTTTTTTCCTGTGAAAAATCAGATGCATATAATTCCCCCCTGTTGTTCCCTCTACTTAAAACAGAAGGATCTAGCAGCTGTATCAAAAAATCAAGTTTCTGGTCATACATATCACACCCAGGCCCCTGGGCCAGACATGGTGTTTCACAAACTCATTTACTCTTTCTGTCCAAGTGATCTACAGTAGATTATGATGGATTTTTTTACCCCCTCCCTTCACTGATATTCACACAAATGCTCTTCATTCTGCCCCTTGAGCCCTACGTTTCCTCACATGAATATACATTAGTAACACAGGGTGTCCCTATATGAATGCAGTTTTAAGCTTTAACAACTTTGTAAGTATAAATGCTACAAACTTATAACAACATTTGAAAGATCATTTAAAATGTTTGTTAAAATTCAATATAACCACTATCTTGTGCTATGTCTCTCTTTTTTTTTTTGATCAGGCAACTGAGGTTAAGTGACTTGTCTAGGGTCACACAGCTAGTAAGTATCATGTGTCTGAGGCCAGATTTGAACTCAGTCCTCCTGACCCCAGGGCCAGTGTTCTATTCACTGAACCACCTAGTTGCCCCCTGCTATGTCTCACTTATCAATTTTTGGACTTTGTAAAAAACTTTCATCAGCTGACCAACTATAAGGATTGCCTTCGTAATCCTAGCCTTAAGACTGTGATGAATAAAGGACATTTTAGACAAGACCCCCCAAGAAAAAAGTCTAAGGGAGATAGATCGGGTAACTGAGGTGGCCAAGCCAAAGGACCACCTCTACCAATCTTCCAGTCTGACAAAGCGTAAACCAGAAACTCACACACACAATGCAGAATGACAAGGTATGATATCTTGTTTAAATTGACTGAAATTCACAAAACTAAATAGGTATAAAAGAAATTTAAAACAAACTTTTAATTTTTTTTGTTAGCTTGCAGCATTTACACTTCTACAGTTATTAAAGTTTAAAACTGCACCAGGACTTTTGGGACAGCCCAGTATGTAATGCTATTTCCTTCCAACCACCTTTTACCTGAGTTTTTTCCTCTGAATAATGTATGCTCACTGAGAAGCACATTCCAAACAGATCTCATTTCAAGCCTCAGCGATACACACCTATGAGGACCAATCTGCCTTCTTGTGCTGGGACCTCTAGTTTTGTCTTGCTGGTGGCCCAAATAGACATTTGCATAGTGGCAGTTGAGGTCACAACTTTTAATTACTGATTCCTTCCTTGAATTTCGTCTCCTGCAAACCACTCGGTTATCTCAGCTGTTAATCTCCTATAGCACAGACATTCTTCCAGCACTTCGTAAACTGTGGGCTGCGATCCCATGTGAGATTGTGACCCTCAGTTTAAGAAGAGCTGAAGGGGTTGTGAGTGGACACGGTTTAAGAAGCCCTGCCCATGGTAGCTAGCTACATGGTTATGTCTCTAGGCAGTTTTCTCCTTCCTTAGTATAATTTCGTAACTGTTGTGGCACTTAAAGCTGGGCTTTGCTCACTTGTCTTCAAACCATCCCACCTGACCCGTGACTTCACAGCACTCCAGTGGCTCTTCTCCCCAGACAACTGCCAGCCAAGCAAAGATAAGGCAGGAGGCCTGCTCTTGCAACGATGCGAGAGGCGAGGCGTGACCTTTGTGGCAGGGCCTGGACGGCCAGACGGAAAGAAGGCCGGACAACACCTCCGTTCCACTGATCTCTAGTTTAATCTGGAGCTTGATCTCATGGCACCCCTCAGGAAGGCAGGCACCTTGTATTTTGGTCTTCTGTAACTGTCAACCAATTCTGCACTGAGTACCTCCCTACTGAAGTAGCACCATCTCAGCAGTTTTCAGCCTGTACTGCCAATGAGAAACTGTAGCTAACCCCAGACTCTTACTAGCAGATTCCAGTATATGGCTCATTATCTTATTCAGATTTATCCATACACATCATGCGCAAACAGTCCGTTATTTTTAGAAAACTCTGCATTTGCAGGGTAGTTATCAGAACTCATGTTTCCTGAAACACTCAGATTTTTCATGGTGCTATCTTGAGGCTTCCTATAAGATTAGAGGTTTAGGATGCTTATGATTCTGGAGCTAGCTTCATAAAATAGTACACACCTTGTATGTAATCCCATTTAGAATGTTGGGAAATAAGATACAGGAAAAACTTTTTGTGAGATAGCAAAACCTACATGCCCTCTGGTGGAAGACAAAAGGCTACAGTTACATTGCTCCTACAGCTAAGATCACTTTTTTTTTTTGGTTTGGCAATGACCCAGTACATTTTTCAGACATGTGACACCACTGGTAACATCAAATTTTCTTTAGTGATTTTTTCTGGATCTTTTAGATGTATCCAAAAAAAAAAGGAAAAAAAAGAGTTTAAGTTTTTTAGAATTTTATTTTTCCATTTCCTTCTAAAATGTTTTTTGTTCTGTAAATTTCTGTAACGCACGTGGTTGTGGGTCACACCATGCCAGGTTACTGATGTTTTGGCTAAGAAAATCTTGGTAGTGGAGAACGAAATCTACATTATCAGACCCAGAATTATCAAAATCCTTTTTAGAGTGTCATTAGAAATTAAAACTAAACCACTCCCACCCTCTTTTAAACAAAACGGGGGAGGAGGAAAAGAGAAGAAAAATAAAAAGATCACGTACAGTTAAAATCAAATTATAATGCACTGTTGGGTATGGCAAGGACACAGCTCATAGAAAGGACCAAGGACAGCACTGTAGTAGTTTTCTAATTTGTGTTTTCTACTTTACAGGGTTTGTTGTGGAGCTTATAGGGAAGGAGGGTTGAAGTCATTACCAAGTCAGCTTTCATTTTGGTTACAGGAATTTAAAAATAATCTTTGCTGTTGTTGACATGTCCTTTTCAAAACTCACTTCTATTTCCATTGAGTTGTGCAGAATGAGGGATAGGGCCAGAGAAACTTATTCAGAGCCACATAAGGGGAAGTAGGCTCCGTGGGGATCCTACCATCTCCTTAGAGTCCACAAGGAGAGTAATTATTTATCTCCTAGAAAACTGCTTTATTAATTTTTCTGACATTTCAAAAGCTGTTTCTATTCCTGTTCAGAATTTAACGATTTGTCATTCTTAAAAAGTTTAAAATCAAGGCCTAAATTCCATAATAACCTGCCCATTCCTCTAGAAAAGTGCAATTTTACTTTATGTAAATCATAGCTAAACCTAAAGCAAAAACTGCCCATTTCAGGAAAAAGAATCATTGGGGAATCTCAGCAGTAAAGCAGCTTGCATCGGGAAATGAACAAAAAAGGCAGACACCAAACACCTCCATTTCCCCAAGATTAAATGATTATTAAAAAAAAGCGCACCACACTGTATAGAAATCAACATTCTCTCCCATAATTCTGTGCATCTGGGACTACAGAAATGTCATTGCCCCTGCCCCACATCTTCAAATTAACATCCTCAGGTCACAACAGTAAGTCTTCCCAAAGGGGACCTTCCGGAAAAACAAGCTATTTCCGCGACTCATGTTTCCCTGGAAAAAAATCAAACAGATACATAAAACTTATAGTGAAGGCCATGAGATCAGTTAATCCAATTGGCAAAATGAGAAAAGACACAACAGATCTCTTGGAAATGCAACTAAATGGTTAGGGCATACAAACGATCCACTTCCACAGAACAGAAAGCTACACCCTCTGCCTGATGGTGACAAGCCCAATCACCAAATGCAAATGAAATGCCATTCTGCCTCACACTGAGGGCAAGAAGAGGCTCTCCACAGCCTTTACAAAGCTGTCAGTGCTACAGGGGTATGTCTGACTTATGCATGGTCCAATTTTACTATCTGTGCTAGGTCCCAGCAAGAAGTGAACTAGAGGCTCCCCCTGTGCTCCCCTCCTTATAGGCCTGGCCTGGCATCTTCTTCTGGAGCTGGCTCAGTTTCCCAGGTCACTCTGAGGAGGTATAAAGGAAGCAGCCACATGGAGAACTCAGGCTTCTGTTCTTCCTTTTCTATGGGGTGGGGGGAAATGGCTCGAGAGAGAAGGGGGTATAACCACAAGAACAAATTCTCTCTCCCTAAACTGGGGACAACAGTGACTGTGGTGAAGTGCGTAGCAAACTCAATTGCCTAATGCAGGGAGGAGGTATGTGATCCCTGAAATTAGAGGTAAAAAGTTACTACGATGGCTATTTCAGCAAAACATTGTAGCCTTTTATTCTCAGAGAAGGTCCCTGGACTTCTGTTGTGGGACACAGCAAGCCCAGTGGGATGCAGTCTTCTCCTACTCATTTTTTACAGACTGATCTTGGACTTGGTGAGATAGAGCTTGCTCTCACATCTATCACAACTGCCCCAAAGTAATGCAACAAAGAACTTTTATCTCCTTTCTTCCTGACCTTGTTTTGTATAAACATTCAAAAGCAATGGTGGCCAGACAATCCCTCGCTTTTTAACAGGCTTGATGCTCAATGGTGGCCATGGTTACAGTGAGGTCAGAGACTTAAGTAATCATTGCTCAAACAGCATCCCAACGCATCAACTCTGGGTCTAAAAGGACATTTGTTACCCTGCATACTAGACTGTACTCAGAGACAATGCAGCCTAGCTCTGTCACTGATCTGCTGCAACAGATTAATGTGACTTCCAGTGCCAGAAATTCTTCACCTGCAAAGTGGGGTAATACTTAGCCTCTAATAACTGTTGGAGAAGAAAAAAAAATTTGAATCTGCATCTGACTGCAAATTTGATTCAGAGTGGGAGGGAAACAAGTGCTTAGTAACCAACACTCTTTCAATAACCTGAGCAGCCAATGAACTGATCCTTTACAGGTTAATGCGCTTTTAAAAAAATTTTCTATGGATTATTTCTCACATCTCGTTTCTGTTTGCTAAGCATGACATTGTCCCCTTCTGCCAGAATGTCAGACTGAACGCCATTCAAATTAAACAAATGACAGATTGGTAGCTGCAGACCAAACTTGTGTGAGAAGGAGGGATCGAGTTAAAAACCTGGAAATACTGGTTCGCAAAACTAAAAGAGTAACCATACCTCTTTTTGCAGCATAGACCAGCAGTCTAACCAGGAAGTGTAAATGGGGGCGTACGGAGGGCATCCACCAGCAAGCCTGAGAGAGAGAGAGAGAGAGAGGAGCTCGGTTACCCTCCCCTGGCTCTGTGGAGCCTGGCACCCTCCAGCCCCCACAAAGGTGAGGAAGACGAGATGCCTGTCGTGAGGAAACAAACGTCACTGAAACAGGGAGAGAGGTGGGACCAAGTCTTTTACAACTGAATCCACAGGCTAGCAGACTCGGTTCATTCTTCATTCTTTAAGTACTACTTGGGAGCCCTGCCTGGCAGATCCTGCAGGAGGCCCTGAAGACACTTAAGCACCATGGTTACTGTCAAAGAGACTCAGGGAGCCGCGCTCTCCACTTTCAAACAGACACCGGCCGCTTCTGCTCAGGCAGTGTCTGGGAGAATGTTCGCAAAGCCTTCCTCTCACGTGTGCTTCTACTCTGGGATGCCTTAGAAATCACAAAGTGGACCAAGGTGCCCTGAACACCAACACCCCATTTCCTCAGCTTGCATCCTGTTTGATGAATGGCATGTTGACAAGGATATCTCTGCATTAGGCACTGCACAGGGATAGAATGAAGAATTACTATAGGTGCAAATTACTACTAAGGCAGAAATACGCATTCTGGAGGGCCACTTTTAGCGGGCAAAAGCTGGACGTCTGCATTTTGGCCTCCACTGAAGCCCTCCTCCGACACAGTGACCCTAAAGAGTAGCAAGAGGGTGACGAGCCCAGGCCCAATGATGGAGGGTGTGCCTGTCTTCTCAAGGACCAGGAAGGAAAGGCTCATTATCAGGCTGGCCAGGGGAAATGAATTTTTCATGAGGACTATCTGCAAAGGTATAGACATTGTAATCTGTGTGAGCACAGGGACTGTCCATCCAGATGAAACTATGGAGCTCTGAAGTAAAGTGATACAATGTAAGGGAAGGAGGAGAAAAGGCAATGAAAATGAACCTGTCAAACGTACTTCCTTGCAAGGCCTGTCCTTCCACAAAGTCCTTTCTGATTGAAGTTCAAACCTGATACCCACAAAAACAAATCACCAGCCCTTCTAGTCACCCAGAGGGGTGACTCCCGCGGAGAAGGTGCCAGCTAGCCCCACCAACTCTGACCCAGAACAGGCAAGCCAGGTGAGTTGAAGCAGTGGGGTGGTTAAGGACAGACAGAAGGCAATATGTGCAGAGCAAGTCAAACTGGTCACCATTTCCCTTAGACCCCGATGGAGACAGACCAAGAACCTTGGGCACAGTCATGCTTCCAGCCTTCATCCTGGGAAGCAGCCCAGCCACTCCTTCTGAAGACCCAGAAAAGATCTGGCTATCAAAGTCTCTGGCCCTGTCAAAGGCTTCACACTAAAAACTGATATAATTTTGTCCATGGAAATGACATTAAAGGGTATTAGCATCTGCTCTGCCTCTGCACCTAGTGGACCACGGGACCTTTCCATCTGACTTGAGAGCTGAAGCTGAAATTGTCCCTTTGTGCTGTAAGCTCTCCCAGCAGAATGGGAGCTCCCTGAAAGCAGGGCTGCCTTGCTTATCTATTTGTATCTCCGGTGCTTAGCGTAGTGCTTGACACACACAAAGTGGCTAAGGGATATAGGTGTGGTTTGTGTACATGAGTTGATAAGAAAAATAGAAGAATTCAATAGTTAGCTTGCCTCCTTTGGAGTAGAAACTCCTTGAGGGCACAGACCATATGATTTGTTTTATGTCATATTATAAGTAATTGTTAAAAGTTCATTGAATGTGCCACTTGTTAAGATATACACAATCACCACCTAATAATAGCATAAATACCAAATCAGGGACCGGAACTCATAACATGATTCAATTACAAAAGGAAGACTGTTGCTTTGGGAGAAAAAAATTGTCCTTTCCAAAATTCCCATTACGACCACCGCCTCTGAGTAAAAAAGGAACTGACAATCAAGAGAAAGAAACCAATGGTTACTTACCCACAGTTGTTGACAGCCATCAGGTTGGAGACAAGCACAAAGGGATAGGTCAGCATACTGGCAAAGAACTAGAACACCAAAAAGTAAGAAGATGGCAAAGATTTCAGGACAACTTTTAATGTTCTAGCATCTATTCTGCCTCTATATCTCTCTTTCAAATGGCCCAGGGGCATATTATTTGCACTTGGAGTAAACAAGAAAATTGATTAAGTATTCATTCTGAGCATGGGGATGAGAAATATAGAACCTCCCAATGCACATTCAATACATCCTTTAAATTCCGGCCATCAGAGGCAGGAAGTTAGTCCTTGGACCAAATGGTGTATTGCCTCACATAGAGCTCTCACTTTGGTTGCTTGATCAACAGTTTCATGTAGAGAAAAAGGCTTTGTAATACATGGGGTAAAACCATATACAAAGATAATTAGAAATAAACGAACATTTCAGAGTCTCACAGCCAAATACATGAAAAGGGTTACCTTTTCCAGGTTAAAAGGGTGCTGATTTAGTTAGGCGATATTTTAAAGGTACCACATGGATCAAGATAATGAAAATTCTTCATCACTGAAGTATCAGGAAGTTCGCTCCCTCAGGCCAGAGGGTCATTCAGAGCTATAACACTAGGCTAACAGAGGTGGACAGGCTGATTTTTTAGAAATGGTGTGGATTCAATAATAAGATTTAAGAAATCGAGGTGCCACTATTCACCTACAAATATCAATGAACCTGGGAGGAAATGCCCTCTAGACATGTGGTGGATGACTTCTACAAATACTCTCAACACAGACTGGATGATAAACACAAAACTCTGTTTCTAGGCTGATGAGAGGAAGATGAACAAACTTACTCCAGTAACAGCCTGGGAATAACTCTTCATTTCATTCATGGTAGAAACCTAAAAAAGGGGAAAACCTTTAGAGCAAATGAGAAAATTCTGCTGCTGTTAACAACAGCTGAGACTATCAACATATCCCACACCTCATTGACAATCAATTTCTTTGTAAAGCCTTCCAACTAGATTATAAAAGTATTATGAAGAAGTAGACCAATATGATTATTCAAATCTATGTGAAACAGCAGACAAATACACATTAGGTTAAAGTGATTTAGGTACAGAAGAATGAGGACAGATTTTTAAAAAGACTGGTTAACCATTACCTAGAGGCAACCAGGCGACACAGTAGATAGAGCATTGGGCCTGGGGTCAGGAAGACCTGAATGCAAATCCAGCCTAACAGTAGCTACGTTACCCTGGGGAGGGCACTTAATTGCTCTCTGCCTCAGTTTCTTCAACTGTAAAATGGGATTAATAACAGCATCTGTGTCCAGGGGTGCTGTGAGGATCAAATGAGATGTGTGGAAGGTGCTTAGCACATAGCAGATACCTGTTCCCTCTCCTTCCTATTGACTAGAAATATGATTCCTCTAAATAGGGTATTCAGTTTAAGACATATGGTCCTATTGCAGGGAGATCCATCATATGGCCCTTTCCTTCAAGTGATATACAAATCCAAACCATGTCTGACCATGGATTTTCTTTGACTGGCATTTCCTCATAGAGCCACTGGTCATCCTGTTTTTCTCCATGGTATGCGGTAACTAGGCAGCTAGGTGGTTAGGTGGATAAAGTGCTGGGCCCGGAATCAGGAAAACTCCTCTTCCTGAATTCAAGTCTGGCCTCAGATATTTACTAACTGTGTGACCCCTGGGCAAGTTACTTCACCTCAGTTTCCTCATTTGTAAAATGAGCTGGAGCAGGAAATGGCAAACTCCTTCAGTGTCTTTGCCAAGAAAACCCCAAATGGAGTCATGAAGAGTTGGGTGCACCTGAAATGACTGAACAACAATGGGGAAACTGCCATAGTACCATTATGCCACAGAAGGGCACTTCACTTAAATACTCTAAGTGTCACCAAAGGGAGAATGTATACAGGTGATGTCAGCTCCCCAAACTCCTTCTTGCAGAGTACGAATTGTTCAGCTAGGGTCCATGGGAAGAATTCAGGGGAGCTAAGAACTTAGAACTTTTAATATTTGAATAACTGCATTTCAATATAATTGGTTTCCTTGTAATCCTAGGGATTTTATTTTATGCATTTGAAAACACTCTGAAAAGGGGTCCGTTAGTTTCACCACTGCCAAAGGAGGCCACAACACAAAAAGATCAGAACCTCTCCTCTCATGCAGAGGGAAGTGAGGGATTCTTCAGGACTTCTTCAAAATGCACCAGAACCCCAACGTATGCTGAACTGCCCCATTTCTCCTTAATATTATGGGGAAGCTCAGTCCACAAGTGGTTTGGACAGATGGCAATAAAGAGATGGGCTCTTGAAATCATCTTCTTATTCTTGTGCTTCCCTCATATACCTGTTGGTTTTTCATACTGGTTGCTGAGGCTGCTAGCTGGCATGGTACATGGAGTGTTCTACCTGGAGTCAAGAAGACCCCAACTTAAATCTGACCCCAGACACTCACTAGCAAGGTCTGTGACCTCGGGCAAGTCACTTAACCTCTGCCTGTCTCAGTTTCCTCACATGTAAACTGGGAATAAGAGCACCTATTTCCCAGGGTCACCGTGAAGGTAAATTAAGATAAAATTTACAAAGTGCTTTGCAAACCTTAAAAGTGCCACAGAAATTCTAACTACTATTTGCATAATCTTGAACCAATCCTACATCATAGCAAGTTCCTGGAAATCCACAGGGCCTTTCTATGGTCAAGAGTGTAAGCTTCTCCATTAGCTCATGGCAGTCCAGCCATTACAGTTCTTTTTCACTAAACTAGGATTATCCAGCCCTAAAATGTGGGTCAGGTCATAGTTTCTGCAGGTCGAACACAACCTACCCCACTCTCCAGTGCATAGGTATTGACGAGGTAGGCCAATGAATTACAGAGCCACAAGGAAATGATGTCCCCCAGGAGGCGAGGAATAAGGCCCCTGCCATAATAAAAAAACAACAACAAAAAAACAGGTAAGAGTTTAGAATAAAGACAAAGGGATGCAAAAATCTACTCTGTGTTAGCCATACTTCAGATGTTTCGAGTTTTTCAAAATGAGATTCAGAGAAATAAAATAACTTTGAGTAATTAAAAAATCTGAAACCAAAGACCAGAATGTAATCACAAACTGAGCACATCTTCACCTAATTCACCCTTCGGGAAATGGAACAGACAGAGGTCAAAATACTGAATGCTGATTTCCAAAGCCCTTCATTCCATTTTAAAAACGTATAGGTGAAGTAGACTCCTCATACTCTGCCTACTGGTCTATCATGTTTATTACTATTCACTACATTTTTTGAAGTCAAAACAATCTGTTAGAGGCTTAAAAGAGGATCAGATAGGGATTCTGCTCAACAAGGTTTTATAAAATCAGAAATGCAAAAGAAAAATCATTAAGAAAAAGAACATTGTGCAAAGAGGATGACTTTTAAAGTGATACCTCGAGGGGCCCACATGAGTCTAAGAATGTCTTCCTTTAGAAGGTTTTAAAGAAGGAAAATGGTAAATTCTCCAGCAAGGACACAAGAACTAAATGGACTCTTGGAATCTTTCACTTCCTCTAGACGAGTAAAAACGAATGCTGCTAACAAAGGACAAATTCCATCATCTTCCTACCTGTAGGAACTCTTACTGGAAACGGGCAAGCTAACATTTACGATGAGGTTACTTTAATACATGCTTATCCAGGACAAAAGGATTAATTTTGGGTGAAAAAGCTTAAATCACAGACTATTAGGTCAATGAGAATATGAGTTGGAAGGGTGCTTGCAGTAATTTCAATCTTGAGGGTTCATTCTGAAGGCAGAATGAGGCCTAACTTTTCAGAAATGGGTGGATTTGTTTTGCTTGCCTATGCAGACTTGTTATAAGGGTTTTCCTTTTTCTTTTCCCTTCAATTTATTTTTGGGGGAGGGCGGGGGACTGGAATGAGGGCAAGGAGACTATCAACAGTATTGCCAAAAAACACGGAAGAAAAGAGAAGTCACTGAAGCATTTGAAAATGCACAGAAAGAAGTTTAGAAGGAAACAAATGAGCGAGATAGCTTTGAAATTAACAATGAATTTATTATATCTTAAAAGGAAAAGCAGGCTGTAGATTTTCATGGTTTTAAGTACAAACTTCATTTTATTTGGAGTCTTTTAAGTTCAGCACTTAAAATCAACAGACTAAAGAGAAACCTTTACCCCTCCTAATAGCTCCCTTTGAAGATTCCCCACTCATGCTAAATTACTTAAGCAAAATCACTTCAACATCAACTCACGCAAAGAATCCTAGGAAGCCTTCCTCTCGGTAAATGGTTACTATGGAGTCACACAGTCCACTGGATGAGGTAAAGAGAAAAAACAGAATGTTTTGTTATTTTGGAGACATGAAGAAAAGCACTTACATTGCTGACACTGATGAAGCCGAAGGTCCTCCTCCACACACCTCCTCATTCCCTAAGCCTCTTAAGTGAGTTCCTTTAAAAAAACACCCTTGCTTTTTTGGCATATTCACACATAGAAAACAGGGTGACTGCAGGTGTACAAGCAGCAGCAAAGGAGCATCACTCTCCCATGATGTGGTCAATCAATCAATATTTATTAAGCACTTATTACGTACCAGAGCCTGCACTAAGTGCTGGGGATACCAAAAAAAAAGGCAAACAACAGTCCCTGCTCTTGAGGAGCGCAGTCTAATGTTCACATGGAGTCTCTGTTCTATCAGTCAAAACTGTTTGTCAACCTCATCTTATGAATGCGTGGTATGAGGCACTCACCAGTATTTGGTCTCTCTGCCAATGAATTGCACCATAGACCTCAGGGTAATCACTGTAGGAAAGAGAGAAGAAAGGCATTGGTAGACACTAACCCTGAAAACCAGCTTATTCCACCTAGAGAGACTTAGCTATCTGGATAACCAGGGGTAAAAAGAAAACCACAAAACCCCACCCCCTCCCCAAACAAAATCACTAATAAATCCCACAGTAACCCTCCTGAGACGTCAATGCATAACATGAATATTAATGGAATGCATAGCACGTCCCACACCCGATGATTTGTTACACCAAGAAACATACCATGGAAGGGATGTGTAACGAGGGTAGCCGCAGAACGCGCCATCATCTCACGAGTCGTCTAGAAAGAATTGACACATATTTCTGAAACCTAAATTTTGACATTCAAAAGTTGTATGAGATCAAATGCGGGTGAATACTGTACGATATGAAAAGGGAGTGAGGTGAAACAGTGCTCCAGCCCTGTAGTCAGGAACAGTAGCATGGAGAAGATACAATAGAACACTTCATCATTCTAGCATACCTTTCACTCATGGATTTCAATGTTCTTTTTTAGTTATTCCTCAAAATATCTCTGCGAGGCCGGTTCCCGTTATTTTCTCAATTTTATAGATGAGAAAAACAAAAGCAAAAAACAGGGAGGGTCACCAGCAGGCAGTCACAGAGCTGGAAGAAAAACTAAGAGTCCTGAATTCAGAGCATAAGGTCATGCTCTCATTCTGAGTGACTTTCTTTCCTGAGTGACTTTCAATCAATCCAGACACCTCTATCACGCAGGCATTATTTCAGGGGCCTCTCCAGTGAGAGGTGTAGTAACTTTTAATAGGGCTACACTACAACCCTATAAAAATAAGAAACTTGGAGTTGCTGAGAATAGTTGTCATTTTTCTATTCTAGGGCACTGTATGGTGATAGCAAAGAAGAATAAACTATAATTCCTAGATACAAAAATCCCAGTTTTGGAATATGCTAAGTTTGTCTTATAACTTTTCACACAGAGCTATGTCCTTGCTATTAATAAAAAGACAGTCTCTGTGAGTCACTATTGCCTAAATGGAAGACTTTTGGGACCACCCAAATATGTGTGAATTTATCAAAATAAGATCATACAATACAAAATGGGTCAAAGTTAAGTGAAAAAAAAAATTTTTTTAATGAAATTTTATAAACAAAATACCGAAGTCTTAAACTTTAGTTGCTGAATGCTAAAACCTAACTCTATGACAATATCTAATACCCAAACAAAAGGAGAAGCTCTTTTGGGAGTATGGATAGGCAAAACGGAAATTTCTTTAGGGGAAGAAGGGATGGTGAATGGGGAGATCCCAAACTAGCCAAGTGTTAGAAAAGCATTCCTAGAGCTATGACAGTTAGCATGCCTTGGGCCTCATACTATCTATCTTTAACCTTTTCTTGAAAATTTTTAGCTCTCTCAGGACAATTTCAGTAGCAACATAATTCTAACAGTTTAGACAAAAGAGTCTCTTCAAGGTTAATTTTGGTTGAATGCATCTTTTTTCCTAAAACAAGATGTAAAGTAGCACAGCTAAGTCAAAACCAAGTTAATGGTTTCATTTTAAAAAACAAGAGGAGACTAATGAATGATATTACAATTACCAACAATCAAGAAGCACTTATTCAGGAGGCCTCCTGGGGCCAGATCCTGTTCTAAGTACTGGGAATCCAAAGACAAAGAATGAAACAATTGCTATTCTTAAAGTCAAGAAATGAGGCAAAGGGAAACTTGAGGCCTTGAATCAGACACTGATTATATATGTCTGAAGGTCTACTGATTCTATACATACTGTAGCACCTTGAGTTCAATTTAGGGAAGAATTTTTTTAAATATCTAGGTTTATCTCCTACCTCCTTAATAACCTTGTCAAAGCTGGATGGGCCATCTTTTTCTGCAGAAGGTGGAGGTCCTTGTTTTAACTCCTGTGAAAAGAATAAGAGTCAGGCTTCTTATGGTTTCAAACAGAATAATTCAGACTTGTGTCTACTCCACAGGCCAGCGGTTTATTAAGTACTTAAAGTACTTAAATTAAGTACTTAATTATGGTGCCTTCTCTTGAAGGAAGGGTCAAGCAGCAGTAAAAATCTGCAAGGACCGGGTTCATGCATAAAAACCAGCTTCAACATACCTCAGCCTTGTCACAATCCTGGTATCGCTACAGAGGAAAGGAAAGAAAAAGAGGCTTTGGGTTATTGTAAAGTCCTACAAAAGAAGACCCAAAACACAAATTGTACTGGTGGTGGCCGGACTAGGTAAGATGTCATATGTATTCTCCTGATCACATATCTTCCCCTGTCATTCAATCAATGGTTACTGCCAACCAAGTAGCTGACCAACCACACTGCCAAACTGGGCATATGGGTCTTGGACAGAAACAGTGCTAACAGGATAGGCTAGCCACACATGCAAAAAACTGGTGGAATTATAGAACAAAACTTCTTTTTTTTTCTTTTTTGTTTTTTGGGTTTTTTTTTTTGGCTAGACAGTGGGGTTAAGTGACTTGCCCAGGGTCACATGGCTAGTAAGTGTTACGTGTCTGAGGCCACATTTGAATCCAGGGCCAGTACTCTATCCACTGCACCACCTAGCTGCCCCAAAATTCATTTTTTTCTTCTGGAAAGAACAGGATGGATACCAAAGAGCAAGGCTATAAGAACATCAACTTTCCAAAGTCTGATCAGCTGAAATCATACAACTATTTAAACTGCTGTAATACCTGAAAGTTTTTAAAGCAAGAAAATAACATTTGCACACAGAACTCAAAAATTCACAAAACACATAATATAATTATTTCCTTTGCTCCTTCACACAGTTCTACAAGGTTCTGATTACAAAAGACCAATCTAAGGTCACATGGCTATTGCCAGCCAGCACACAAACTCTGGTATTCCAATTCTGAGGCCAACATCTGTTTGACTACACTCCTGAAGAAGGTAATGCAGAAGGATTAGGTATAGTTCCTCTCAATATGATTTTATAAAGATGATTTAGACATACCAAAAGAAAAATTACAAAGAAAAAGGCCATCAGAGGATTCTGGGAAGATGGCAGAGTAGGTCAGAAAACTTTCAGCTCTCCAAATTTCCCCCACAGAAAACGACAGAGAACATTGTCTCAGACAGAATGCAGAGCAGCAGAAATATACAAAAGTCAGGCAGGGTAAAGCAGCTGTTCTCCTAAGACAACCTAAGAAGACCCCAGGAAAGACCTGACCTCCAGAGGCAGAGGTTTGGCCAGAGTGAAGTACGAACATGTCCAGGTCAACTCTGTGGAATCAATAAACAATAAGCACTGTAGGCAGCTGGGGTTGGGAGGCAGCCTCAGTCTTAGAAACTTTCATCTCACCAACAGTGTGGGTGTCCGACCACAGAAGGCTAGACGGAAGGACCTTCCACTATTGAAGGATGCCAAGCACAGCTGTGCTGATCAGACACATCCTAGGTGGGCTGTGGTGGTGGGGAAAAGGAGCTAGCACACACTCAGTGGGTGCAGTAGCTAGGGGCAGGGACCCCATTGGCTGTGGACACTGGCAGGAGGGCAAAGTCTCTGGTTTCAGTTCCAGGGCAGAGAAGACAGCTGTAGTTTGCAGCCACCAGAGGGACCACAGGGAGTAAGGTCATTTGCGAGAGTTACCTGGGCTCTAGCCAGGGCTTAGGACTAGGAGAGAAGAGCCCAAGGTTGAGCCCTGAGCCAGATCTCAGAAAATTACAGTAAGAAGGATCTGAGGTTTGGGGCATTACTCCCCATACCTCAGGAATAGAACTTGATCACACTAGTAGCTACAAAAAAAATAAAACAAAACAAAATAAATAAAAATGAGCAAGCAAAGAAGAAAGAACCATAGATAGCTACCATGGGGATAGCGAAGAGATAATGGAGCTAAAAAAGCCACTCCTTTTTCAGTGAGAAACGTCAAATGATTAATTTGACAAAAAGATTTCTTAGAAGAACTTAAAAAGAACTTTAAAAATCAAGTAAGAGAGATTGAGAAAAAATTAGGAAAAAAATGAGAGCAACCCAAGAAAACCAAGAAAATTATTAAAAGGAAGTCAACCAACTGGAAATAGAGAACCAAAAACTTAAGGAAGAAAATAATTCCTTGAAAACTAGAAATGGGCAAAGGGAAGCTAATGACGTTCTAAGACACAAAGAAATAATAAAACAAAATCAAAAGAATGAAAAAATAGAAGAGAACATGAAATATCTCATCGAAAACCAACTGATCTGGAGAACAGATAGAGAAGCAATATAAGACTGTCTGCAAGTTATGATTGAAAAAAAAAATCTTGACACAATATTACAAGAAATTACCAAGGAAAAATGCCTTGAAATTCTAGAACAAGACGGCAAAGCAGAAATTAAAAAAAAAAATCCACTAATCACAACCTCAAAGAGATCCCAGGAGGAAAACTTGCAGGAATATCATAGCCAAGTTTCAAAGTTCTTAGGTTAAGGAGAAAATACTGGAAGCAATAAGAAAAAAAATTTAAATATTGTAGAGCTACAATAAGGATCACACGAGATCCAATAGCTACTATGTTGAAGGACCGTAGGTCTTAGAATACTATATTTTATAGAACAAAAGAGCTGGGGTTATGATGAAGAGTAATTTACCCAACAAAGTTATGAATAATCCTGAATTTTAAAAATGGACATTTAACGAACTGAAAGGCTTTCAGGTATTTGTGATAAAAACAGTAGAACTTAAGGGAAAATTCAACATGATATCCAGGGGAAATATAAACATTAAGGACCAATTATAAGGGACTCAATAATTTACTTCTTATATATGAAAATATTATCAGTTCCATTATGACAGTCATTTTTTAAAGAAAAGCTTGGGCTGAGTTGAGTATGATGGGGCGATTCTAAAAAAAAACTGTATAGGGAGAGATAAAAAGGAGCAATTATCTCATACAAATGAGCCAAAAAAGGAAAAAGTGATAACAGAAGAAGAAGCTAGTGGGGGGAGAGTAGGTAGTGCTGAAGCCTTACTCTCAGCGGGAATGGGTTAAAGAAGAAACATATATATCTAAAAGGGTATAAAAGTCTTCTATATTCAGAAAGAAATAAGAGGGCAAGGGGATAGGGTGGGGGAAGAGGATAAGGGAGGGATTTTTGGACGTGTGGGTAGGTTAAGGAATAGGAGGGCAAGGTAGTGGGTAGAAGTAAAGCAGAGGAGTGAGGAGGGATAGGGTGAGAAAGATAGTGAGGAAAAATAAAAACAGGAAGGAGGAAAATATGCAAGTTATTATAGCTCAGAATGTGAATGGGATGAATTTACACATAAAATGGAAAATGATAGCAAATTAAAAATCTGAATTCAACAATATATTGCTTTCAGGAAATGCTATAAAAATGAGAGATACACACAAATACCAAATAAAGGTCAGGAGTAGAATTTATTATATAAAAAAAGCAGGAGTAGTAATCATGATTTCAGACAAAGTGAAAGCTAAAATAGATTTAATCAAAAGAGAAAAACAGGGAAACTATACTATGTGTCAGCCATATTATTCAATATTGTTTAAGACTATTTAAAATAACTAGACAGTATATAATACCTGAGAACATATTTGCCAAAACATATACAGGAACTACACGAACATAAATATAAAACAGTTTTTATACAAATAAAGTTAGATCTAAATAACTGGAGTAATGTTTATTGTTCATGGGTAGGTAAAGCCAATATAAAAAAAAAGACAATAAGTATGATTATAAATATCTAAGTATATATAAGTATATATATGCATGCACCTATCTTTGTGTGTATTTATGTGTGTGTATGTGTGTGTGTGTGTATATATAAATAAAAAATACATATATACATATCTATCCCTTCGCTTTATTGTAGCCTTCTTTGGGAAGGGGGGAGGAAGGGAGAAAAAAGAACAAAGTAAAAAGTACACAGCAGAGAACAAAAGGAAACTCACAGGGAAGCAAAGAAAAGATGGACAGCTCTGAACACAAGGCATAGTATTTATTATATAGGCTTTCTTGAAATGGAAATTTTTTGCTGTATATTTTTAATACTCTTACATTCTACTGCGTATATGGCAATGTTTTTTTTCTTTTCTTATTTTATATTTAGATTAATGTTTCTTTTTCTTTTCTTATTGTCTAAGTTTCAGTATTTAAGTTTTAAAATAAATAAAAAGAAAAAGGACATCACACAAAGAAGACAACTTTTAAAACGACATTATGAGGGGTATATCATTTGGCCATCAAGTAAAAAATCAAGTCACACTTGAAAATTGGACTTATTTCTTTAAAGTCACATACACTCAGCTCTGACAAAAATAGAAAGTGGTAACATTTGTGCTTCAAGGTTTACAAAGCACCTTTCTCACAAGAATACAAAGACAGGCAGTGCAAGTATCATTTTTATTTTGCAAATGAGGAAACTGAGGTATAGGCATAGTAAGTGAAGGCTTCTAGATAAGAGTACTGGATTCAGAACCAGGAAAACCCCAATTCAGCTCCTTCGAGATCCTGGGCAAATCATTTATTTAATCTCTCCTCACCGCAGTTTGAAAAATGGGCATAAGAATAGCACCTACCACACTAGGCTGCAGTGAGGAATAAGTGAAATAATGTCTGAAGGCTTCACACATCTTAATGCACCACAGAAATGCTAGTTATTATTATTATTGAAAAATGAACCATAGGGAGAACATGGTCATGCTAAAAGCACTGAAGCTAGGACTTGAAACTGAGACTCTCCTAAATTCAAGGTCAGTCCTCTTTCTCTTCTACCTCATAAGAACTGGAGAAAGGTAAATAACAGAGAAGCCAGAGATGAAAGAAAAAATGTCAAGATTAAATGGAGTTATGGCTTCTTGTCAAACTTGCTCTTCCTTCCCTAGATTCTGACTGTCTAATAGTCTGACCGTCTAAAAATTCCTGTTTATCTCTGGACATTCCTTTTTTGGAAAGTTATTTATTTGCCTCTTTTACATCATTCTGGCCTAATTTCAATGTGTGCTTGGTCTAGGTATAATACAGTAAAGGCTGAAAATTACTTGATACCAGAGGCTTTTGTTCCTCCCTGATGCCAAAGCTGCCTTGGACACTGACCACACTGACACTTAACTGGGCCATCATCTAAGGCAGTGGTGTAAAACTCAAATAGATATGGATCCCTGTGGGGCTGCATGTTGAATCAGAAAACCACAAACTAACATTATCTGTTTTATCATATTTTTATTTACTTTGTTAAACATTTTAACTACATTTTAATTACATTTTAATCTTCAAACAAAATCCAAGTGAAAAGACTATAGCTACATGTGTGTGCTACACACACACACACACACACACACACACACACACACACACACACACTGTTTTCACGATAAAGTTGGATTTATAGCAGGGATGAAAGGATGGTTCGATGTTAGGAAAATAATTGGCATAATTAGATTAATAATATTAAAAACAAAATACCTAAAACACACAATTACAAGAAGATACAGAAAAGGCCTTTGACAAAGTACAACACTTACCAATGCTAAAATCCCTGCAAAGCATAAGCTATTTTTATTATGATAAAAAGAATCTAAAACCAAAAGCTAGCATTATTTGCAATAGGAAAACACTAATTCCCTAATAAATGCAACAATAAAGCAAAGATATACCCTTTCCGCACTATTGTTCACTGTAGCTCTAGAAATGTAATCGAAACCAGACAAAAGAAATTATAGACAAAGAAGAAATAAAATCATCCTTATCTGCTGATATCATGGTTTGCTTCAAAAACTCCACAGAACTTTAGCAGAGAAACTAATTACAGTTAAGAGCTTCAATAAAGAAACAGAATGTAAAACAAATCACTAGCATTTCAATATAACAAACTCCACAAGCAAATTAGAATATAAAATTAATATCTACATATAAAATATATACAATATACAAAGAATATCTGGGAGTTTATCAAGGCACACTTAAGACACAGATAAATACAATCACAAAACATACCTCAAAGAAATAAAGAATGACTTTAATACTTAAAGGGAGACTCATTGGCCATCAGTGGCCCAGGTCAATATATTTTAAAAAATGGCAAACATGGCAGTAAGTAGACAGATTTACTGCTATACCAATTAAACTATCAAGGAAACAATTTACAAATTTAGACAAAATGATAATAAATTTCATTTGGAGGAAGTGAAGTTTGAAGCTGTAGAATCTTGAGGGAAATAATGAAAAAAGTAGTAACAAAGGAGGAAATAGTACCTTTGCACCTCAAATTTTACTATAAAGAAATAACCACCAAGAGGCAATGTGATGTTGTAGAGAGAGAGACACCTGGACTTGGAGTCAGGAAAACCTGAGTTCAAGATCCATTTCTGACACATACTGTGTGACCCTGGACACTTAACCACTCTGTGCTCTAGGCAATTCTTTAAGACTAGAAGCTGCAGAGAGACACTGCTGCTCTACACTGGCAACACGAGTTTCTTCACCTGGGAGGAACAGGCTAGATAAAGAAAAATCAGGAAAAAATGAATTCAGTAACTCAGTGTTTGACAAATCTGAAAATATCAATTACTTAGGGAATAATTCACCTTTTAACAAGAACTGCTGGAAAACTTGGAAAGTAATACGGCAGAAATCAGACCTAGGCCAGCCTATGACTACACATGCCACAATAAGCCCCAAATGCACATATAACCTGACTATCAAAGAGCCCATCACAGAAAGTGGTACCAGAGAACTAGATCAAGCGTCTTTTAGGGCTCTGACTAGCATGTGCTCTAACCTAAACAGCAGATAGATGTGATCACAAAAGATAAATTATATCATTTTAAATTCAAAGAAATCGAAAAGTTCTTGCAAGAACAAAACCAACGCAGCAGAGGGATGCGCTACGTGGACTGGGGGAAAAAACCAACCACGCATCTAGTATTTTGTGGCGGTGGTATGGAACAGTGCAGCCCTGGTCTTGAAATCAGAAAGACTTGGCTTCAAATCTCATCTTACACATATTTACTAGCTGTGTGACCTGGACAAGTAACTTAACCTGGCTCAACTTCCTCATCTGTAAAACAGTGGCCTCTAAGGTCCTTTCCAGCTTCAAGTCTATGATCCCACAACTTTATTTCTAATATCTAAGATACATAGCGAAATTAAACATATAAGAAAGATAGCTATTCTCCAGTGGACAACTGTCTTTCAGTCACTGGAAGTGAAAAGGGGAACAGACATTCCATATAAATGTTAAGCAGATGGGAGAAGAAACTCAAAAGGGGAAAAGGTCACGGTTAAACACATACCCCTAGGGTGTGTACACATAACAACTGATCTACCGGATCAATAGCATAAGTTATACACAAAAGGTTATTTACATGTATGTGAAAATTATTTTTGAATTCACTGACCTGCAAAACTCTACTGTGGACCACAGTTCCGATGGCTCCAGAACACAGTCTGGGAGTTAAGCCTTTAAAGAGCCCGCTTTTTCCATCGATACTCATAATATGTTGAGCTGAGAAAGTAAGCCAAACACTTAGATCACAACCTGAAGGGATTACTACCTGTACACAAAAAATTCCAGAAGGGAATCTTCATGATCATTTCAGGAATTCTAAATTCTACCCTCTACTCCCTTAGGCTGACAAATGTGCAACAAAGTTTCATAGTCAGCCACCTCAAAGTAAATAAAGACCAGCTTACCATAACAAAAGAGCCCAGGGAGTTGACAGACTTGACGCCCAAAAATATTTCTTCCCAAAGTCGGAGGAAGAGGCTCATATCCCACCTTCAAGAGTTAAAAAAAAAAAAAGAAAAGAATTGTTATCACAGCCTTGAAAAGAGTAGAACTAAGTTTGAATGTTGCTATACAACTAAGGATGAGATGTGTGTTTTTCTAGCCAGGAATGGAGTACTTCAGACCAGAGAGAAAGTAATTTTGTTTTAACAAAGTACACAGGGGCAGTTAGGTGGCAGTGGATGGAGCTTTGCCCTTGGGAGTCAAGTGGACCCGATTTCAAATGCGGACTTAGACACTTGACACTTACTAGCTGTGTGATCCTGGGCAAGTCACTTAACCCCAACTGCCTCACCCAAGAAAAAAAAAGGGCACAGAACTGCAGAAAATGTGACAATTAGTCTCCAAAGAAAATCTGAGAGCTATTTACATTTGGAATGGCAAACAAACCCCGCGCCCCCCCCCCCAAACAACAACTGTTAAGTCAACTAGAGAAATGAGAGCATGAATTTCAAATTCAATTAGCAAGACAGTAAAACTGGCTAGACCCACAGCCACAAAATCTGAAGGGCAGATTGTGATCAGAGGTAGGGGAGGTAATTTTAATGTGGATTGCTATCTCATTTCTGTAATCTGTTCAGTTTTTAAAAATGCTAAAAGGATATTACTGGGAGGAAACAGACTATGGGCTATGGCCTTCATTTTCTACTATCATGATTGCTAAACATTTTTGTCTCCCTAAAAGTACAGTGAAGCATTTTTTTTTGGAGTGAATACTATTCTCCAATGGATAAGTAGTCAAAGGATAAAAACAAACAATTTTCAAAATAAGAATTACAAAATAATAAGCAACTATAAGAAAAACTGCTCCAAATTACTAAGAACAAATCAAAATAACATTAAGGTTTCATCTCATACCCAGCTTGATGACAAAGATAACAACAGACTGTGGAGCTGTAAATTGGTCCAGCAATTTGTCAATTGGAAAGCAATTTTGTCATACTCTAAGAAAGTGACTAAAATGTCCATATCCTTTGACCTACAGATCCCATATCTGGCCTTTTCCCTCAAGGTCAAAGAAATGAAAGTCTTATCTACAACAATAGCAGCCCTTTTTGTGGAAGCAAAGAAATACAAATAAAATAGACATGCCCTGTTAGAAGTTGGAATAACTTATCTAGTGTGAAGGTAATGGACTTTTACTAAACTATAAAGAACTATGAATATGAAGAATTCTGAGAAGCATGAGAAGGAATATAAACGGATGCAGAGCAGTAAGCTGAAAGAAGACAACACCATACATAAGGACAACAATGGACACAAAAATAAAAACCAAACCTGAACACTGCGTAATTATTAAGACCAATCTCGCCCCAGTAAAGGAAGAGAAAATATGCAATCCTTCCTTTTTTTGCAGAGGTGGGAGTCCCATGGGTGTAAAATACTCCATATATCATGTCAGACGTGGTTAATGTGCTGGTGGGCTTTCCTGAATTCCTTTTATTCTTTTTCTATTATTATAAGCAGCAGGGGAATATGTTTGGATATTTGGATGTAAAAACAAAGACATCAATAAAATTTAATATTAAAATAAATACTAACAATAAATTTAAAAAAGAATTTGGCCAAATTTACCAAAAGTACCTACAACATACAGCACACGGCTTCCCTGGGCGTCAGGAAATACAAAGACAAAAATGACCCATTTTCACCCATCCTGAGGAGCTCACACTCTACAAATAGGGACAACAAGCATACATAAGTATATACAAGAGACATATAAAGTAGACACAGGTAACCTTGGATGGAAAACCACTAATTGGCCATTGAGGAAGGCCTCCGGTAGAAGATATTGCTTAATCTGTAGTCCCAAAGAAAGCCAGGAACTCCAAGAAGCATATAGAGAGGAAGAACATTCTATGAACGAGGAACAGCTAGTACAAAGGCCCAGACAATGGAGATGAAGTTTCCTGTGTGAAGAACAGCATCACAGTTAGACTCTCTGGTTTGTCAAGGAGAGTAATATGTAAGGAGATCAGAGAGGCAGGAAGGGCCAAGTTTTGAAGAGCTTCAAATGCCAAACATAAGAACTTTTATCTGATCCTAATAGGAATGAGGAGTCAATATAATTTATTTTATTTTATTTTAGCTTTTTGGTGAGGCAATTGGGGTCAAGTGACTTGACCACAGTCACACAGCTAATAAGGAATAAGTGTCAAGTGTCTGAGGCCGCATTTGAACTCAGGTCCTCCTGATTCTAAGGCCGGAGCTCTATCCACTGAGCCACCTAGCTGATCCAATTTATTTTATTTTTTTCCAATATTAAGACTCCCCCCCGACACACACTTCCTCCTTACTGGAAATAAACGAAAAACCAAATCCCTATAACAACCTCAGTCAAGAAGTTTCCATATTTGCTACATCTAAGAATGTGTGTTTCATTTTGTACCTTTGTCTCCATCTTTCAGTGAAGAGGTGAACAGCATGCTTTATCGCTGATCCTCTAGAATCATGATTGATTAATCACTATATTGATTAGGTCTTAAAATTTTCAAAACTTTGTTTTACAATGTTGATGGTATGGTAGAAGTTGTGCTCCTCATTCTGCTCACTACACTCTGCAGTGGTCCATAAAAGCCTTCCTAGCTTTCTCTGACACTATCGCATTCACTTCTTACAGCATTCCCTTACATTCATGTACTGTTATTTGTTCAGCCATTCCCCAACTGACAAGACCTTCCTTAAGTTTCCAGCTCTTTGCCACCACAAAAAGAGCTGCTATAAATATTTTTGTACACACAGGACTTTTTCCTCTTGCCTTTGTTTCCTTGGGGTACAGACCTAGTAGTGGTATTACTGGGTCAAAGAGTATACTGTACACAGTTTAATAACTCTTTGGGTGTAATTCCAAACCACTTTCCAAAAAGATCGTACCAATTTACAACTCCCCCAACAGTGCGCTGATGTGTATGTTTTCCCAAAGCCATTTCAACACTTATAATTTTCCTCTGTTGTGAGGTAGGACCTCTGATTTGCCTTAATCTGCACTTCTCTAATTACTGTCACTGGACTTTATTGAGTTTGGGTGTACGTCGGGGCATGTACGAGGGATATACAGCAGTGTGGAAAGGCTTGAGGTAGGTAGATCAGTTAGGAGGCTTACTGAATAGCATCAGGAGAAACGTGACGAGGCTGGTGGATGTGATAGAAGAGAGAAGGCAAGCAACACCTGAGATGTGGAGACACAAGTGTCAAGATCTGGGAACTGACTGGATATATATATTCAGGGTGAGCAAGAGGGTGGAGTTGAAGACACCAAAGTTGTGAACTTGGATGACTACAAAGACAGTGGTACCCTTGACAGTAACAAGAGTTGCTCATGAGAAGGGTGAGGCAGGGAAAGAAAATGAGTTCTGTTTTGGATATGCCTGTAGGCTAACTGAATGTGAAACATTTAAGCAGTAGCTGGCAGTGCTGGACTAGAAGTCAGGCTTGGCACTAGGGCTGGATGCATAGATCTGTCCATGTATAGGAATGACAATGAAACCCAATGGAGCTGATGAAGTTACCAAGTGAGAGTGCAGAAGAACTGAGAACACAAATGACAGTCTGCACGACAGTCTCAGGGTATATGCAGTCGGTGGACTTGACACAGATGATGAAGCAGCAAAGGAGACTGAGAAGAAACACCCAGGAAGGAGGAGAACCAAGGAAAAACAGAGTCACACTGTCACGTAATGCCATACGATCCCAACTGTAATAACAAGTGCTGGATGGTATTGGCAAAGGAGAAATTTTGGGGAAAAAATTAAAAATATTTAATGCTTCAATTGAGGCAATCTGAATATTGACAAGCCTATTAATGTAAACAATTCTATAAATACAGAATACCATTTAAAACCATTTTACAAGAATTTATCAATTCACTCAAACTTAGCTAATAGCCTTTCAAACAACTTGTTTTTTAGCTCTAGGTGATGCTCATCCTGTCACGAGCCACATGGGTCCCACATCAGACCCTCAGAACAGACTTCTTCAGAAACCTGACTCAGCAACTCTTCTCAATTACCCTATTATCATTTCTGAATGAGCTCCTTGTGTCTAACTAGGTATCTGGTTCCAAAATCTGCTACAGAATAGCAGCTGCAAAAGAAACAACACCTTCCCAGTGCAGCCCCAAAGAAATCCTACCAACTTCCCCTCCAATAACTGTGAAGATAACTGTAGATATGACTTCTGTTGAAAGGCAGAGGAAGAGGATGGAAAGAGGCAAAGAGGAAGCCTTTTCCCTTTAGTTGGGAACTTTCTTTTGAGTCTGAAGGAATCAAGACACTCAACTGGAAACCCAAAAAGATTGTATATTACTGGTTTACAAAGTTAGAACAATATCCCATGGGTCTGTGTTTCCTCTTGCAATGTCAAGTCACTTTAGCACTTATGTACCAAAGGGAGGCAGAGAAAGGTTTGAAAAAGGTTTGGAGGAGGGGAAAATGGGAAAGGGGGATTGGACCACATTGGGGGTGTTGGGGAGAGGATCAGGAATGAGTCATGAAATCCACTGGTCATAACTATGTCCCATGGTCTGTTGTTATCTTGGAAATTTCCCCATAGCACTTATTTTACCCAAGAGAGGAGGGAACTGATCACACGTTCTTAACTGAAGTTTAGGGACTCCAGGGTCCAGAAAGGGAGGAATGAAAGGGAAGGAAGAGGAAAAGGGAGACCAGGGGAGAGAAAAAAGAGGGAGTCAGGAAAGGGGGAGAAAGTAGAAAAATAGAGGCCGGAGAAAAAGGGAAGGGGAGAGGAGGCCGGGGAAGCAGAGAAGAGGCCAAAGAAGAAGGGAAGAGGAGAAGAGGCCGGAGAAGAAGGGGAAGGTGAGATGAGGCCAGAGAAGAAGGGGAAGGGGACAGGAGGCCGGAGAAGAGGCCAGAAAAGAAGGGGAGAGGAGGCCAGAGAAGAAGGGAAGGGGAGAGGAGGCCGGGGAAGAGGAGAAGAGGCCGGAGAAGAAGGGGAGAGGAGGCCAGAGAAGAAGGGGAAGGGGACAAGAGTCCAGAGAAGAAGGGGAGGGGAGAGGAGGCCGGGGAAGAGGCCGGAGAAGAAGAGGAGAGGAGGCCCGGGAGGGCGGGCGCAGGGAAGGGCCCGGGCAGAGCCGCGTGCCCCGCGGTCCCGTCTCACTTTGCAAGGTCCCCTCAGGACTGACTTTCCGGCCACAGGAGGGGGCCTTCGGGGCCCAGGGAACCAGGGATGAGTCAAGAACTCCTCCGGCCCCACAGGTCGGGAGCCCGAGCCTCGGCCGAGTCCTCGGAGCAGGCCCAGGCCGGGGACTAGGCTGGCGGCGGCGGCGGGCGAGCCTCCGGGACGCAGGCCCGGCGGCGGCGGCGGCGGCTCCTCCTACCTGTACGAGCACCTTCACGTACATGAGCGGCTGCGAGAGGATAGTGAGGCCCGAGCCCAGCAGCACCTGACTGGCCGCCTCCGTCATGATGGCACCCACGGACGGACCGACGGACTAGGGGACGGGCGGACCGGGCCACCGACCGACCGGGTCCCGGGTCACGTGCCGGGGCCGGCGGCTTCGCTGACCCGCGGAGCGCGCACGCACGCCCTCTCCCCGCCTTCCGCGAGCGGCGGCGGAGGCGCGCACGCAGGGCCCGAAGAAACGGCAGCGCCTCGCGGACCGAGAGGACTAGGCGAAGGCTGTGGGGCGGGACCGCGCTCGCGGCCCGACCACGCCCTCTGATTCGACCACGCCCTAGGCGCCCGCGGCGAGGCGGAAGGCTAGTGCGCTTGCGCGGGGCAGCGAAGGGCGGGATGAGGTCAAAGGAGAAGGAGGAGTCGGAACTGCCCTGGCGGGAGAGTTTGAGGAAAGCGGCTCTTGATCGTCCTTCGGCAGCTCGCATCCCTAACCATCGGAGAATCACGGAGATAGCCGCCTTCCTCCCAGGCACGGCCTGTGTTGCTCCCATTTCACACTTGCGCAAACTGAGGGCGGGAGAGGGTTCGGCGAAGCCAGGGCCGCGGGAGCTTTCACTTCGCCGAACGGGGCTAGTGGCAAGCTCCTCCCGCCGCCCCAGGCTGCCCGTGCCTGAGGATCGCGAGCCTCGGGGGGGGTGGCGTCAGGGCGGGAGGGCTCGGAGGCCCTCGGAGCAGGGCCTCCTGATACCAATAACCAGCCCTTGGCAAAGCGAGCAAGTGAGGCCGAGAGGTTAAGTGAGTCAGTGTCTGAGGCGGGACTCGAGCTCGAGACTTTGGGGATGCCGAGGCCGGCAGTGGTGAGAAATCCGCCGTGGATGTCCTAGGCTAGGAAGATGGGAGCAAAGGAAGGATCACGTGAGCTTACTGATATACTAAGATCTAGTGTTCGTGTAGCCGTTTTAAGGTGTTCGAAGTGTTGATCCTCACAGCCACCCTGGGAGGAAGGTACTATACGTCTCCCTCTTTGGGGTGAAGAAGCAGGTGTGAGGAGGTCACACAAGTACTTGGCCAAGGTCACGCAGCTAATGAGCGACTGACCTGTTTGAACTCTGATCTTCCTGACTCTAGGCCTCGCTTTGTAACCCAGCTGCTGCCGCTTAGCTGCCCAGATGAGGGGCTTGATCCAAACGGGTTAAATGACGTGTCGACTTCGGGGAACAGTGGGTCATCCAGTTTTGTAGTAATATAAAGAGGAAGTCATGGAAATGAGGTTGAAAAGGTGGGTTATATGTGTTATTGTGAGTGGTTGACCAAGCATCCCAGGATCATTTGTGGACACGTAGTAACCCATGTTCTCAGCCCTATCTTGCGCTGTTGTGGGAAAGAGAAATAGAAGCCATGGTCCCCACTCTGCAGAGTTTATGGAGCTCCCCCGAACTGGAGATAGGACACTAAAATGCAAAAAACAAGATAGGTGACAATATCCCCACAAGAGTCCTTTGATGACCTAGTGTGTTGTGAAAGTGATGCTGGGTTCCCAGACTGCAGGGTGATAACTGTCAGGTCCTACTCAGCTAGACTGTCTTCAAGTATGGGCCCAGACTGTTGTCTTAAGAACAGCCTAGGCCTGGAGAGGCTCATCACCAGGAGATGGCCAAGACCCCCAAACAGTATAGTACTGGACCAGTAGTACTTCAGTTTCAGAATTCTCCATTGTGGCCTTGACTGTCATTTAATCCACACTTTTCTTCACTGAATCTTTACTGAGTGCTGAATTGGGTACAGAGCCTCTCCTAAAGGTGAAAAGGGGCAGCTGAGCTTTATATGGGAGCATTCTGTAATGTTGACTCCATTTTGTTTCCGTGGCTAACTAATTTGAGGAAAGGGATGGTAAGCAGGCATGCTGGTTAGACATCAGAGCTGCTCAAGGCTGTTTTGGGGAATTAGCCACATAGAGGTGACAAGTGAAACCTTTCGAGTGGAAGACATCTCTTGAAAAAAAACACAGTGGCTGAGGCCTGACTTAGCCAACACATATTTGGCAAGGGGAGGGAAGAAAGCCAATTAAAGCTACAAGAGAATCATTCAGACAAATATGATAACCAGGATAGTGAAGTGACCATAAAGTCAGATAGAAGAAAATTTCAAGAAAGGTTAACAGTTTCAAAGTCAAGGCCTTTTCAGAAGACAGAGAGTCAGGATTCTTCATTTATTTTGTGTTATTGACTCCTTTGGCAGTCTGGCAACCCCTGCTCAGAATCATATTTTTAAATGTATAAATACATAAGGCTACAGATGAAACCAATCATATTAAAATATCTTTTTAGAAAGGTTAAGGTTCAGAACCCCCAGCTTAGAGGGTAATACTTCATTCTGCTTCTTCCACTATGTTGTTCCAGATTGATAAAGGAGAGGTGTCAGTTTTTTTCTGATTTTGCCTTGTCTAAGCCTAGAGGTCCTTGATTTCATTCCGTTGCCTCTCCATGCCATTGTATACTTGGCTTTGGAGTAAATATGATATAAATACTCTATTCTGTGTTTCTATTTATGTCTCCATTCTATTGACCTATTTGCCCTATATTATAGTTGGCTAATATAGCCTATTTTGTGCTGAAGTGGATAATGTCAGTCTAAGAGGTGCATACTGTCTGTCTACAATTCTCTGTGTAGTTCCTAACAGTCATCAGTAGACAAGCTATTAATGATCAAGGTTTTTATATTAACAATAGTTGATTCCTTTACAGCTGTAACAACAGAGCATTAGCAAATAAGATTACATATCTTGAGTAGAGTAATTTTGACATATAGATGGGAGATCGTGGTGGAATAGTCTCTGACTTTACTGGGTCAAATAATGTTTTAAAATCATTAAGTACAGTGAGATCTTGTAATCTTCCTAACTCATTCCTAATTTCATGGTAATGGAGATGTGGTTTGCTGTGTAAAATTGCTCATGAAAGCCTGTCTCTATTCTGCTAATGCTCTCACCAAGGATGCCTTCGACTGCATGTGTTGAATAGGCTCTTGGAAATTTAATATAGATGGGAAAGTAGGCATTTAGGTTGGTAGCCAGTGTTTTCTCAGTTGCCTTTTTCTTTCTTTTTTTTTTTTGGTATCAATAAGTTCTAAGATTTTTTTTTTCTATACCTTAACTACCTTTCCCTCCCCCTCCAGATATATATATGAATTGATCCTTCAGCACTCTCAAAGGTGTGTCACTTCTAACATAGATCTCCTTCTTTAATATCTAAAACCCTTAGTTTTGGTATGTCTGATTTCCCCATCTACGTTCTCTTCGGTGACATTTCTACTCCAGGAGTACGTTTGGGACTTTGATGTCAGAGTGATGATGATGACAGTTTGTAATGAAAACTTCGCAGATCTTAATTTTTTCTCCCTGTTGTCCTTCCATTTTCATCCTTAAATGCCCTTGGGATAAGTTTTGATCCAAGTTTTTTGGAAAGTTGGATCACTTTCTGACCTTTCTCTAAACTGATTTTACTTTCTCCATAACTTTTCTCAGCTAAAACAGAGAGGTGGTAGTGCACATGATCTTCCCTCATCCTCTTCTATTAGATTTTACAAATGAGTTTGTAGCCTAAACCAGTATTGCCTTTGGCTACTAGGTCTCTCTTCTTGGCAAGTAAATTGTTTGTTGACTAGGATGCTTTTCAAGGATCTTTTGTACTTCTTATTATTGAAGTGGATTTATATCAGCTAAATTTCTGTATGATTGTTAGAGACTTATTTGTGTCCTTTTTATACCTGCTATCCATTTTTCATTAGTAGCTTGTTTGAATACAGCAGGATTAAGTTGTGTGCCATTATCTTTTTCTCATTTTGATTTTTCTCGCTTTGTAACAATTTTAATGGTTGCTCTGATAAATAGGTGGGCTGATTATGTCCAGATAGCTCATTCAGGTAGGACTTCTGTATCACATTCCTGTCTATTAAAATATAAGCAATTTCATTTTCTTGGACCTTCTTAGGTGCTTGCCATGCTGTCAAGTGCCTGCTGCTTATTTTCTTGAAGTAGTCATGATATACGTGTGAGGCTTTTTTGACTTCTCTCATTCCTTTTTCCTGATGCATGTTTTCCCGTATACGTTCTCACCTATGCCTGCCTGTGCACTGAAGTTACCAAATACCAAAGTGTGTGTTGATTTGATGGGGGGACAAGGAAACTTGTTGAATTCTATTAGAATTTCTGCACCCTCTGTAAGACAGTGGTGCATAAACTGCAGTTATTTTTTTTTGTGTGGTAGTCTTTTTGCAAAAGCTTATGTAACCTGCAGTAAGATGACAACATGTCCCATGAGGTGATGTCTTTGGATGCAGAATCAAACCAGCTCATTCGCTTTCCTTAAGTGAGAATCTATGAGCCATTCTCCCATTTAATTACAACTTCCTGTTTTGTTTACAGTGAGAATATGAAGATTGATATGTTTAGTCCCTGCAGTAATGTACACTTGGTCATTAGGTTATATTCTCTTATTTAAAGTAGCAACAGGCAAGTTATAAATGGTCTAAAAACTGTGATTCTGGATCCTCCCCCCCACTTTTCACTATCTGCTATCATCACCGAAGAAATGTAAGGGATGAGGACCATGTGTGTCTGTGTGGTTTGCCATGGCCTAGCCACTTATTGCCAGTCACCAGCAATCATTTATTAAATGCTTATATGTCCTAATACTGGATTAAGTGCTGTGGATATATTGAAAGTCAAAAACCAGTTCTTGCTCTCGAGGAACTGCCATTCTAAAGGAGGAGACGACACGGAACAACATTTAGGTGTATAATATATACAGGGAATATGAAGGGAATCTCAAGACAGAAGTCACCAACAATTGGGAGTACCAAGAAAGGCTTCCTGCAGAAGCTTGATGGAAGCCAGGGAAGGGAAGAAACCAGTGTGAAGGGGCAGAACCTTACAGGCATGGGGGTCAGCTAGGGAAAGGCATCCAGCCTTCAGTGATAAATGCCTTCAGTATTTAGCTACCAGGCTGGTCCTTGGAAAGCAGATGCCATCTGTTGCTAGGACCATACTTGAAGCCTTTCTAATGTGGCAGAACCTGCCAAAACTTTGGAGAACCCAGGGTCATGACCTCCATGCCATAATGGGGTGTCACAATAGACTTTTCGGGGAGTGAGCTGTTGTTATAAAAATTATGTTTTCCCAGCAACTTTTTCTGAAAAACACTTTTGCTCCCAGAAGTACATATCTTATATAGTATTATGGCACTCTATAATCTTACTGTTGACCTGAATTAATTTACAGCACTGTTCCCCCATGTCTGGAATGTACCCCCTCCTCATATGAGACTTTCTGAATCCTTTCATCCAAATTCAGCTCAGGCACTGCCCCTTCTGTGTCTTACCTGACTTCCCCAATTGAATATGCTGTCTTTCATCAAGTGATCCCAGAACATTTTGGACTTCTCTTTTGCCTTCATCCCATTCTATCTTGTATCATCCTTCTCTACATACTTGGCATATCCAGCCTTCTACTGGAGACTTTTAAACTGCTTGCATAGACCTTATCATCCATTTGGCTTTCTACATCTTTGTGTCTGCAGGGCCTACCACAGTACCTTGTATACTTCATGTCTGTAGAATTTAATTATGAAGGACAGAGATTAGCTTTAACAAAATGTCACTCCCAAACCAGTGTTCTACAAGTTGAGGATGTTATTTGGCCTGAGGTGAGGCAGTAAATGGATGTTATCATGCCATTTTTTTGAAAATTTAAATCCAAAAAAATTTATAGCAAGTATATATATATATATATATATATATATATGTATGTATATATATGTGCATATATATGGAGAACTGAGTCAAATTTATAAGAATACCAGTTATTTCCCAGTTAATAAATGGTCAAAGTGATATGAACAGGCAGTTTTTAGAAGAAGAAATCAAAGCTGTATATAGCCATATGAAAAAAGGTTCTAAGTCACTATTGATTAGAGAAATACAAATTAAAACAACTTTGAGGTAGTACCTCACACATTGGTTAATGTGCCAGAAAAGGAAAATGACAAATGTTGGAGGGGATGTAGAGAAATTGGGACACTAATTTACTGTTAGTGGTGTGAACTGATCCAACCAATCTGGAGAGCAATTTGGAACTATGCCCAAAGGGCTATAAAACTATGCACACTATATGCTTTGATCCAGCAATGCCACTATGAGGTCTGTATCCCAAAGAGATTTTAAACAAAGGAAAAGGACCTGTAAGTAAAAAGAATACATATTTATAGCAGCTCTTTTTGTGATGGCAAAGAATTGGAAATTGAAGAGATGTCCATTAACCAAGGAATGGCTGAATAAGTTATGGTATATGATTGTGATGGAATACTATTGTGCTATGAGAAATGATGAGGATTGTTTCAGAAAAGCCTGAAGAGACATGAACTGATGCAAAGAGAAGTGAGGAGATCGAGGAGAACATCGTATACAGTAACAGCAACATTGTAAGATGATCACCTGTCAATGACTCAGCTGTTCTGAGCAATACAATGATCCAAGACAGTTCCAAAGGCCTTATGATAAAAATGCTATCCATCTCCAGAGAAAGAACTGATGGAGTCTGAATGTAGATTGAAGCAGACTTTTTTTAAACTTTAGCTTTCTTTTTTTTTGTCTGTTTTCTTTTGCAATATGGCTAATATAGGAATATGTTTTGCATTACTTCATGTTATTCACTACAGTTCAGTCGTTTTTCAGTTGTGTCCGACTCTTCATGGTCCCATTTGGGGTTTTCTTGGCAAAGACACCTGAGTGGTTTGCCATTTCCTTCTTTAGATCATTTTGCAGATGAGGAAACTGAGTCAAACAGGGTTGAGTGACTTGCCCGGGGTCACTCAAGTAGTAAGTGTGTGAGGCCAAATTTGAATTCAGGAAGATGAGTCTTCCTGACTCCAGGCCCAGTGCCATCTAGTGCCCATATGTATAATTTATATCAAATTGCTTGCCTTCTTAAGGAGGGAAGGAGGGCGACAATGTGGAACTCAAAATTTAAAAAAATGAATGTTTAAATTTTTTTTACGTGTAACAGAAAATTAAAAAAAAATTATCCTTTCTCACAAGAAGACCTGAGTTCAAATCCAGCCTCAGTGACCCTGGGTAATTAGTCCTGTTAGCCTCAGTTTCCTCATCTGTAAGATGAGCTGGAGAAAGGAAGGGCAAACCACTTGGGTATCTTTGCCAAGAAAACCCCAAATGGGATCATGAAAAGTTGGACACAACTGAACAACAACAAAAATGATTGTTATTTGGTCCTTAGAACATTTTGGTACCTCATGTTAAATAAGGAGAATTGGTATTGAAAAGGTTAACAGAAAAACATTATCGTTCAGAAGCAAAACAGGACTTTATTAAAGAAAAAGGGAGGCCAGTTAGAGGTGGCTTACCTCCCTAGAGAAACAACTGTATTTAAAGAACAAATGTAATGTGATAAGAAAAATATATTTCCTGAACAGAGAGGAAAGCAGTGTTTGTCAAAAATACAAAATGATGGTTCATCAAATGGAGATGACTTCTTTGGTTGTCTTCAAGCACAAGTTATTGTAGGAATTGTATTTGCCTGGGAATACCAAGGGCATCATGGGTTAATGTAGAGTCAATTGATTGTGACAGCAGATTCTACTTTCAAATGATCCTTGTGTTCCCTTAGTTGGAAAAATGAAGAAGTTCCTCATGAAGGTACTTGAGAAAAGTCCTACGATGCAAACCTTCACTTTGGGGAAAAAGACACAAACACTGGAGATGAGAAGGTTGTGAAAAAGAATTGAGGAAAAACCAAAAAACAAAACACCTCAAAATGCCGCACTGACGTTTTTTGGATCAAGCCCCAAGATTCCTGTAGAGAAGTTTCACCCTCATCCTGCCTTCTCCACCTTGAATCTGAAGTTTTCAGAAAAATTCCAACATTAGGGTAAGATTACAAATTGGATCTTTTTTGCTTTACATTAACCCCAGCCTGGTAGCTCTCAAGTGAGAGAAGTGTCAGCAACTTTTTGGTTTAAGTTTGTTTGAGCAGCAACAGGCTTTCTGTATCCCTTATAACTTGCCTTGCGAGGGTTTCTATCTTGTGAACTGAAGCATTCCTACCGAGGCCATCCTTTGCCAGGCTGTCAATGAGAGTCTTAATTCTGAGAAGTTACACAGAATCTGCCTGTAATACAGAGTTTTACTTTGGAGAAGTCAAAGATTTTCAGGGAATTTGTTGTCCTTTTGGGATTTTTTTTGGATATCACTGAAGATTTGAAGCCATGTTTTCTTTTTGCATTAATTTCTCCCCTTTTTCCAAGTAGACTGTGCTGATCTGTCTTAGTCAGGCCAGGCCTTCTAGGAAGTTTCCATATTTTTTCCTTCCTTTTCCTTTCTACAGGATTCTGAGGGATCTTAGGGGTCAGAGAGAAAGTTTTGCCCAGCAGCATAGACATAGAAGTTACTTTTGGAATCCAGCATAGGGACCTGATAGAAAGGCACAAATAATTGTCCTTCGGCCTCATTCCTTGTTTTTACTGTAGCTGCCCCATTCCAAATCTGCCTTTTTGTGCAGGGGGGGGGGGTGAGGGGAGCTTTATCTTGATTGAGGAGGAGATACTAACCTTCATACTTGAGACCACATGCATTCTTAAGGCCATAGAAGGCTTCCCTTTCCCCCTTCCTTTCCTAGTTCATAGACTACTCTTGGACACCTCAAAGACTAATCAGATTTGGGCATCTTAACTGTCTTTGTCACCTGGACACAATTTTATCAGAGTATTTAGAACCAGAAGAGGCCTTAGAATTGACATAGTCCTAGCCTAACCTGATCATTTTCTAGAGGAATAAATTGAGACCCAGTGAGGTAAAGTGGTATCAGACCCCAGATCCCCTAAATGCAAATACAGTGCTCTTTCCATTGGACTATGCTGTCTCATACACAGTATCCATGTTTCTCACAAGATTCCAGATTCTTTAGATTTCAGCAGATTTCTAAGGTCCCCAGAGATTAGGACAGAAACGAAATTAGCTCTGCTAAGGAGGAGCTCCATTTGATACACAATCAGGCTTTCATATTGTGATAAACTTGGATAAATTCACATTAGCCAATGGAAAAATTGTATTTATTAGTGCTCATCTTCTTATGAGGAGCTACTGTTTAATTTTTCCCAAAGTCTTATGGCTAAGAGTGAGATTGCTGGACAGAGCATAGAAAAGAATGCTGCTGCTAACTGCTCCTTCCCTGCTTGGATTCTTTTTTTTTTTTTTAATTTAAGCTAGGCAATGGGGTTAAGTGACTTGCCCAGGGTCACACAGCTAGTAAGTGTTATGTGTCTGAGGCCGGATTTGAACTCAGGTCCTCCTGAATCCAGGGCCATTCTCTATCCACTGCGCCACCTAGCTTCCCCGCCCTGCTTGCATTCTTAAAATGAGGATGGATGGGGGTGGGGCAAGGAGGGTGGCTCCAGCAACTGACTGAGAGGCCAACCCAGTCTTTGAAGATCTTGGCAATATCAATCAACCCACTGAAAATGCCTGAATTATTAAAAGTTGACCATATGAAACCATAGCCAACTGTTGGGTATTACTGGTAACTAGTGGATTGAACAATATCACTTCATACAATTATGTACTGCTGGACAAAAAGGATAAGCTACTGGCAAAGGGATGAATAACTTATTGCTGAGAGCCTTTTGGCACACCATCCCAACCATGGATGTGTAGTGTCAGTCTCTAGGAAAAGGACAAATCTCAATGGTGTAACTAAGGCAGTCATCTGGATATAAAAAATGTCTGCTGTCCCAAGCCTGTGGTGTAACCCTTTTAGTGGAAGTAGCAAGGAGCGCTGTAAGAAGAGAGGGTTGGGATTAGGGTTCAAGTCATACTGAGATAGTTTATTTTCCCATAGCTAGAACACTGGGGTTTGGGGCAGCACTGCCCAGCTAGATGGGGGAAGGGGAGGTGACCATGCCTTTTAAATTGACGGCAGTGAAAGTATAGAACTCATGAAGATAATAGAGGAACCTCATGAACTGTTAGTTTTTGCTACCTGACACAACAAAAGCCCAAGGCCTTTGGTGCTGCGTTGGGTTACTTTAAATGAGAAAGGTACCTAAGGTCAAATTGACTGGTAGCTATGGAAAAAAAACTTCTTGGAGGAAAATTTCAGATATGACAAAGACCCTGGGGGTCTGGGAGGGAGGGAGGGCGGGCCCAAATACCATTTTCTCTAATAATTCATATAACAATATAGGATTATTTTAATTTTCTTAAAATTGTCAAGGATTTTGAAGCATATGACATTTCAGTTTAATACTTGAACATATTAAAGGATATGGGTTTAAGATGATTGAAATATTAGTGCCATGCTGAATACACTAATATTTAGACATTCCAAATAAGAAAGAGCTTCTGGAATAAAGTCATTACCACAGAACCAATGGAAGTTAACACTCACTTTGTTGTTATATTCTTAAACTCCAGGACCCAGGTGCTCCATGAGCCCGGTTTTCCATCTCTGTTACTGAAAGACAAAGGCTTCCTACAGCAAATTAAAAAAAATAAAAGGGAACTTCTATAGGACTGGTCTCCCACTGGAAACAAATGTTATGGGTCCACTTGGTATAGACTATGCAGAGGGGCACAAAGAGCAAAGATTCTTATTCCCGTTTACTGTTGAGAAAACTGAAGCACCTCGAGGGAAAGTGATTTGTTCAACACTGACTACATTGGTCAAGGAGCCCAAATTTGCAACAAGGGACAGATGACCCCAAGATTAGTCTCACTGCTGCCTTTCTGCTTATGGTATACACCTTCGATGGTTTGTATGGGACCATACAGTTAGCTCAAGCAAACTACTTCCATACGTATACAAGGCTTTGGAGAGTGACAGTAACTGTTCTCAAATCCCAGACTCTTGGATTTTTGATTCTGGAGTTGAGTGAATTTGTGTAGCAAGTCCCAGGATAGGGAGAAGCCTTTTGAACACAGGTTCTAAAGAATCTGGAAACAAAGTCATCACAAAATAACTGTAATTTATTGGCTGTCATACAGAAAATAGTGACTCTTCCCCCACAACCCACCACCCGCAGGACAGAATTTTTTTAAACATTTTACTCAACTGCCAGTAGTTTAATTTGCCTCATTGAGATTTCTGGCTTCATTTTTACCTCCTGTCTATTTGTGACAAGAAGTATTCTAACATAGTAATGATGCCTGACACTGCAAGTACTGTCTCTCTCCTGTCACACATATATATTTTCCTGATCCACCGTTCAGTTTCCTGTCATCTTTGTTAAGCCTCTGGTTAGCATCACATGTTCAGCATCACAAGCTCAGCTCAGATGGTGCCTACTGTGGTTTTCACTGTCTCACACGGATGATATTTGCATTACTGGATGATGCAGGAAAATCTCGAGGCTTGGATGCTGTGGGTTGCAATCCAGTATAATGATTATTAACCAGCAGAGACAGTAATTAGTACCCAGTATATTAACACATGTAATTTACAATCTCATAAAATAAAAGGATATTGTTAAATAATGGTGGTAATTCTTTTCTTCTATATTATTTTTAAAAACACTTTCACGTACATCATCAAAATTGATCCTCCTAACCAGGTAGGTAGGGCAGATACTCTTCTCCTCTTATAGATAAGGATGCTAAGAGCTAGTTAACATAGCTGCTTTGTGGTACAGTGGTGACAAGAGCCTTTGTCTCCTGCCATGGCGTTCTTTCCACTATGTCATTGGTGTTAGTCCCGTACAAATTTGGGCTAGTAGCCACTGCTAAGATCAAGAGCAATATCTGGAATATTTTTTCACCTGACTAGAAGTTAAATCACTAGCTTTCTGGGAGCTAGCTAGCACAGGGTCACATGCATGGTAGACACAATAAATGTTTGTTAAATGGAATGAAGTAGAATTATTTGGGTTATCCATGGGCAGTAATTACTACTACTGTGGCATGCAAGTTGAGTCATCTCACATATCTCTTCAGTACCTGGATGTTACAGTAGATGAACTTTTTGATGGTGTCCACTTGCCTGGATGGAGTTGAAGAGAGGAGACAGACTTGATTAACATGGAGAAACGAACCAAAACTCTTCTATAAAATACAGTGCACTATGTGCTCCTGGATCCTTTGCACTATACTTGTAATGGATGAGAAATTATGATTCTTCCAGTGATGAACGTCATAATAGGTTGTTTGTCCTTAGACCTATCCTTTTAGCACCATTCTAAAAGACATTTACTCCTTGCCACAGCACTTGTTATACAGTGTTAGACATATAGTAGATATTCAATACTAAATAACCATTTATTATTTACTTATTATTCATTTATTATTTGCATATGGTATGTATTAGGCAACCAGTGCCTAGCATGCTGCTTTACATAGGGGGCAGCTAGGTGGAGCAGTGGATAAAGCTTTTGCCTTGGAGTCAGGAGGATCTGAGTTCAAATTTGGCCTCAGACACTTGACTAGCTGTATGACCCTGGGCAAGTCACTTAACCCCTACTGCCTCACCAAAAAGTAAAAAAATATATATATATATATATATATATATATATATGCATATATATTATAAATATAAAAATTAAATTATATAGAAATCAAATAAATATATATATATATATAAATTTAAAATAATATGCAGTATGCAAAGTGGTATGCTAGGCACTGGTTGGGGGAATTAGGGGAAAAGGAATAAAACAATCATTAAGAAATAGTTGCCCTCCTTAGGGAGGTTGCAGTGAATGTCATTCCAGGACTCTAGGCTCTGGTTACTTTTTACATTATAAAGTATTTGTTCAGTCTGAAGATTAGCAGCTGGGCTCATACAACTACATGTTCCACCTTAGTATATGGAGGGGAGAATTGAGCACATTAATCATTTGGCATCATGGAACCATTTTATTTCCTGTATTTGTAGGGAGAACTGACAAACTGGCACCTTCCAATGGGTGCCTGATTCAGTGAGGCATGGGCCCTAGTGAAGAATGTCAGTGTACCTCTGACATAAATACCCTTAGCACTACTAGGCACTGAAATATTACAGGGTCGGAGGGGGAGGAGAAAGAAGCTTTTAAACTGGTATAATACCTTTACTTAGTTATCTTCTCCAGGATTCCTTGGAAACTATCTCCTCCCTGCGACGAACCATAGTCATCGTTGGGTTTAGAACTAGAAGGAACCTTAGAGATCTGGTTCAACCCCTCATTTTAGAGATGAAACAGATTCAGAAAAGTGAAGTGACTTGTCTTTGGTCACACAGTGAGAAAGAAAACAGAGGTGGAATTAAAACCCAGGGCTTAGCACTTAACAGTAAATATTTCCATGTGTGTAGCCTCTCTCCCAATTGTATGTGATGTGAAATGTCAAAATAATACTTCCTTTCATCGTAGATGAGTTACATGTGCTTATATGTAAAAGTAAGGATACTTGAGAATCATCAACCTGTAGGAGACAGCAACGCTGTAGCCTGGGGCTGAGATGATTCAGGGCATTAGGTATGAACCAAACCAAGAGGTGACTAAAATAATAAGCTGGAGAAAAAGAAATTTTGTAAGAATTTCTAGCCAAGGGAACTAGAAGATGATTTAGCCAACACAAACTGACTGAACATGATCTAATTTGTGGGTCTGGGAAGGAGATTTCTGGTCAGAGAAGCCAGGGATTAAGATGCAGCCAGGCCAAATGGCTGTGGAGAAAATAATTTTGGCCCGAACTTGGGAGTTTACTCAGAAAGGACCTTGTTTTCCTTAAGAACCAAGAGTTGAACTTTTGAAGAGCTAAGAGGAAAGAAGACAGACTCAGTGTCAAGCACCGCATCAGCCTGGACTCTAATTGTTCTGTGTGGGTTTGTCTATCTCATTTTGTGTGTTTGATCTCAAGAACGGAGTGCTATAGGAGTCTCTGCATGACAGCTACTGGAGAATACAGGTTCTGAGGGGCCCAATATTGCCACAGAATCCCAGGCTCTTAAGAGTCATAAAAGACCTTAACTCTTTTAGACATCTATCTAGCCCAGGGCTGGGCAGCCTTCCAACTCGAGGTCAGACTTCCCCTGGGGTCAGTCAGAGGGCCTTACTTGATCTGGAGTGCCATATGTGGCCTCGAGGCTGCTGGTCCCCCAGCCTTGGGCTAGCCTAATGTTTTCCAAACTGACAGCTGGTGCTGGTCACATTTCCCTTCTAAAATACTAACTATGCAATTAGGGGCTACTCAAAAGAGGCAGAGGAGGAAGAGGCTGGGGCCTGGTTGGCCCACTGTTCAAGACTGGCTACCTGGGAGAAGAGAGGTAAGAAGGAAAAAGAAGCTCGAGGAAAGTGAGTGGGGCTGGACCAGGCTGATGTCCTGAGCAGTAAAGGTGATAGCCGAAGCAGATACAGAAGTTGACTTTTGTTGGGGAGGGAATATGAGAGGAGAGCTGTAGGGAGGAAGTCAAGGAGATTAGCTGCTCTTTACTTTCTCTTGCCCTCCAAACAGCCAACACTGTTTCTACCTTTATTTCAGGTTCACTCTGCAGAGAGGGAGACCTGTGTTGTGGGAGGTTATGCTTCACCTCTGCTTCTCACTTTAACCCAACCCTTTGCCCTCTCTTCTCCTCCTCTTTTTTTTTTTTGTGAGGCAATTGGGGTTAAGTGACTTGCCCAGAGTCACACAGCTAGTGAGTGTTATATGTCTAAGGCCAGATTTGAACTCAGATCCTCCTGACTAGAGGGCTGGTCCTCTATCCACTCTCTCTTTCCCTCTTGATAAATGGGAGGGACTTCTGACAAGATGAGGCAGTGACAGAGCCTGTATGTTTACTGCTTTCTTTCCTGGCACACTCCCCGAAAACCTCATTTAGAAAGGATTTCCCCCCCAGCAGAAACAAAGTGCTCATTAGGTAGGATCTGTAGGCCAAAGCATAGCCTAAGTTGTAAATGAATCCCTTTTCTTTTAGAGACACTGGCCAGAAATGCCCTTGTTTTCAAAAAACAGCCTGTGGGGGCAGCTAGGTGGCGCAGTGAATAGAGCACTGGCCCTGAAGTCAGGAGGACCTGAGTTCAAATCCGGCCTCAGACCAAATACTCGACATTTACTAGCTGTGTGACCCTGGGCAAGTCACTTAACCCCAATTGCCTAAAAAAGAAAAAACAAACAAAAAACAGCCAGTGACTTGGTTAAGAATATTCCATTTCTCAAAATACACAAGGGTCTGTCTGTCATGGGTAACCTATACCCTTCCCCCCAATATTTACAAGTACAGTCAATACAGTTCAAACCAAAAAATGTTATGTGACTGAATTATTTTGAGCAACACTGACCTAGTCCAACAGTCTCATTTGACAAACAAGGCAACTGGCACCTAATGTGGTGAGGCCACATAGCCAGTTAGGGCCAGAGCTGAGCCTTACAGTTTAGGCAGGCCAAAGAGAGCCAAGGGGTTTTAGAAGCTTAGCTTTAGAGCTGGAGAGATCCTTAAAGGTCGTCTTGTCCTACTGAGAGTCAGAGAGCAGAAGCAACTTGTCCATGGTTACACAACTACTTAAGAGAAGCAGTAGAAGGAGAACCCTGGTCTTCCTGAGTCCCAGTTCCAACGGCTAGTCCATCAGTCCCTTACACCTCTGCTGCCTGTCAAGGGTCAAGGCCTGCAGAATGACATCTAAAGAAGAGAATCTCATTGTTCCTTAACTGATGACTCAGCATTCGTCCTGTATGTGCATGGGCATCTTGTTTCTCCCAGTCCTTGTCACTTTGGGGTATCCAGTCCTGGGAGAGAGGACTCCTGGTGTGTGAGGATGCTTAAATACTTGCAACTGTTCCTGATTGACCACTCGTGTTATTTAGAATCTGAGAGAGTTGCCCAAGGCAGTGGAGAGGTGAAGTAACTTACCCTTGGTCACACAACTAGCATATGTCACAGAGGTCCTGAGGCCAAAGATTGGTCCACTGCACCACATGCTCTCTCGTGTGATAATAAATGAAATAATTACCTTGCTGAATCAGACTATGAAAAGCCGTCTGTTTGTGACAACTCTCTTGGCTCATCTTCAGAAAGAGTGGAGGTGGGTACTGCTTAATTGCTATAGGAGTCTTGCTTCCTTTTGAAGGTGCTGACATGGTGAGTAAAGGCTGATGATGGGTGATGTCCTGCTGCATTAACAGACAGTTTTGGTAACTGTACATCTTTTCCTTCCACGGATATGCTGCTAAGAAACAAACAGAAATGTCACCTGTACTATCTACTGCTGATCTGGAACAAAGCCCGGAACATCGAGTTGGTCTTTGTAGTTCAAAGAACGGCCAAGTTGGTTTTGCTCTAAGAGGCATCTCTCACACAAGGCCAACCTTTTGTGCACTGGAAACGTGTGTCCTCTGAGCTAAGAAAACCATAACCTAGTGGAAGGAGAGAAGCCGGGGAAATTCTCCCGCTGCAACACAAGAGCTTCTCACGTGGTATGTTTCTATCGTCACAACTCCAACTTTCTGAGCAGACAGTTAAAAGCATTGTAACCTGGGCATTACAGAGTAGAGAGATAGCTAGCAGTACTCCATGATTTAAAACCTTTTTTATGATAGGCAGACTCCTAATTGGAAAAAAAAAAGACAAAACCTTTGTTCCCTCTAAGAATATATCTAAATAGGATCATTAAATCTAAAGTTCCAGTCAAAAAGGTTTTCTTTTGTTATTATTACATTTTCTTTCATCACTTTGCACACACACATGTACACACACACATATATATTTAGGTCTCCAGGCCAACTTTTCTGTTCGTAAGAACAGAATATTGGGGCTCAGGTGGCAGTGGTAGGGCCATGTGGCCCAAACAGTGAGGCTTCTGCTCTTGGTGTTTCCCTGAGATTCAGAATAGAGGCAAGAATTTTCCAGCCCTTTCTAAAAAATATAACAACTCTTTATTAAAAGTGAACTTAAAACAATATTATTAAGTATGAGATTTAATGATGATCTACCTGGAAGAAGACATAAGGATACAATTGAGCACCTTTATTCGCTTATGAGTGCGTGTTGTTCCTGAATGGAGACAAAGCCTGAGGTGCAATTTGGTCCTCTGTGAACTTGGAGAAGTTCTTTAACTTCTCTGGGCCTTGGTTTTCTCATCAATAAAGGAGGGGATGAGATCAGAGCTGGGGCATGGATCCCTGTGGCAATCTGGTGAAGCCTGTGGACTTTTTTCAAAATTGTGTTTGTAAACTCATAAAATAAAATACATAGAACTACAAAGGAACCCAATTATATTGAAATACAGTTTTCAAAACAGGAAGAAAACAAGTGCACGGATCCCACGTTAAAATGCCTTAGACTTGATTCCCCCTAGGATACCTCCTAGCTGTAAATTCCATGATTCTAGCCATCTTAACTTTCACTCTAGCCAGGGTCTTATCCCTAGATTTGATTAGCCTAGTCTTCTCTGCTGTAGAGGCAGGTAGGGGGTGCCATAGTGAATAGAGTGTTGGGCCTGCAGTAAGGAAGATCTGAGTTCAAATATAGCTTCAGTCACTAGCTGTGTGACCCTGAGCAAGTCACCTAACCTCTGTTTGATTCAGTCTCTTCAGCTGTAAAATGGGGATAATAATAGCACATACCTCATAGAGTTGTGAGGATCAAATGAGAAAATATTTGTTAAAAGTGCTTGGCACAGAATCTGGCTATATAAATGTTTATTCCCTTCCCTTCTTCTTTACTGAATCCTTAAAATGGAACTGAAGGCTCTTATCTTTAGTTTATTCTTAATTTTCAGGCTCTTAGAAGTCCAAATATTTCCAGGCTGCTTTCCACAGCTAGAAGCAGCTAATTTATCCTGACTGATCTGGTAGAGTTAATGAGAGATTTTTTTTTTCAGCTCCTATTTGGGTAAACTAGAAGATTTCTGGACTAATAATATAATAGTAACAGTAATGATTATTACTCAAATGTTGTTTTTCAGGCAGTCTGACTCTCTGTGACCCCATTTGGGGCTTTCTTGGCAAAGATTCTGGATTGGTTTGCCATTTCCTTCTCCAGCTCATTTTATAGATGAGGAAAATGAGTTAAGTGACTTGTCCAGGGTCACACAACTAGCAAGTGTCTGAGGCCAAATTTGAACTGATCTTCCTGACTTGTAGGCCCTGAATTCTATGCACTGTGGAGCCCCCTAGCTGTTTCTCTAAAGCAGAGAAGAGCATTTTAATCAAGAATAGGGGTAAGACTGGCTTGATGAAGGTTAAGATGGATAGAATTACAGAATTTAGAACTCGAAGTAACCTGGGGGATCATCTAGCACCCTCTCCACTGTTCCACCTAGCTGCCCTCAACAACAACAACAACGAAGATTTTTTGGACCAATAATAATAATGATAAAAAACCACAGTTATTTGTTATGAGAAATCTCAGAAAAAACAATAAAAACTATGTAGTATATTACTACAGGCTGCAAACGTTTTAGCAGCTACTGAATGTCTAGAAAGACGTGTTTTAGCGGCTAGACATCAGAAGCTCACTAGCTTTCATAAACTAACAGATGACAAATTCCCTTTAAGAATTCAACCAAGGAACCATATTAGAGCATCATTACTAGCAAAACTGTTTCTCGTATTTGCCCAGACATAATGTTGACCCATAAAAATTAAGAATAATATTTTTAATGGATGTTACCATACCAAGTACTCAGTCTCCAAACAATGTGGAATGATAAGTTCTCAAAGTATAAAGATCTAATCGGAGAAAGCAAATGCATGTTGGAACAGGATGAAGTACATATCTCTGGTATCTTGGGGACTACTAGAGTGGTCTCTAAGATCTTTCAGTGAGCCTACAGAAGATGAGTTTATCTCCCAATACTTTTATTGAATTAGGAAAATCAATCATTTTATCCACCTTCACTATAGTCTACTCACTAATCAGTAAGCATCAAAGAATAACAGTTGATAGTTACTTGTCCTGTGACCATTTCGATCTGAATGCCATTGAATAAGATTAAAAAAATAATAGTAACTCTTTCCTGTGGCCAAAATATAAAATATGAAGAAAGAGATGACAGTCTTAGAGGGCACCCCTTTCTAGAGCACATTCTCTTTTGACTCCTTTTGCCTCATCACCAAGAAGCCAATTTTTTTTTTCCTTTTTAAAGAAAAGAGAAACAGATGGCATCTTCCCTAAAAGGTGGTGTGGCTTGGCGTGGCCATCCAATGATCCTTCAGCAAGTCTAGCCCAGTTTCTTTTCCATTTTGACAAACTGATCTAAAACAAAGTTCCTTAGGCCTGGTAGAATCAGGGAGCAAGAAGTCTCGCAAGCTACTGTTCTCCCTGTGGCAGTGGTCGGGGCTCTCCACCTTCTGTGTCAAGAGCTGAAGGTCTCTTCCAGTAGTCGGACGGCCACCCACCTCTAACCACTAGCCAACCAGTCAGCAGTAGGGGAGGAGAGGGAAAGGGGGAGAGAGACAGACAGAGACAGAGACTGAGCAAGAAGTATGAGGCAAAAAATTATATAATGCTCAACAGATGTGGTAGGAAAGGAAGGCAAACTAAACTTGGAGGAACCTGCATAGGTCAGTGATAATTTCTTACCCTGATTTTGGTGGCATTGTAACTATGTATGATTGTACTTGGAATACTTGAGAAGATATGCCCAAATGAAAATAGTTTAATCTTTTCAATAGGACTATTATGCGATAGATAAAAATACCAGTTTAAATAAATAGAAAATTGCAAATTTATGGTGTTAACAAGCCAAAGACAGCTACTAGGTTAGAGAATGAGTAAGTGGAACATAGAATTTTAATTGAATCATAAAAGCAATTACATGATTTTCCAGCATAACAGAAGCAAGGTTAAAAAACTGAATAGTACATGAGTTGCTTACTCTATCTAGAGGTCTACCTTGCTTTAAGCAAACCTGTACAGGATAACCTGATCTATGAAAAAGAGGAACTCAGGAAGGGGGTAATTAACTAGACAGGAGGATTCATCTCGGGATTCTTGAAGTAGCATATTTTCTAAATACATATGGCTTGTTATACAAAACTTTGATTTACACACTATTTTTAGGGAAAATTTTATTACATAAAGCAAGGTAGACTTCTATTGGAGTTCAGTGAAAATGCATTTCAGTTCCCAAGAAGGAAATTTTTATGTGCATCATGGTCACATTTAGTTTGATGGAAAATAATCCATAAGATATAATCCTGGGAAATATACAGGTGGATTAAAAAAAGTGTTAACCAAGTGCATGGTCAATACAGAATGAGTCCACTGTAATGCAGAAGCATAATTCCTCCCAGGTTACATAATGCATCTACAACCAAACCAATATATCTCCCAGGGAAGCACCCACAGGGTGTCATTTGTAATGCAGAGCAGTCGAGTCCCGAGGATATATGTGTATGTGAAAGGAAGTCTGGGACAGAGAGAAGACTTGATGTGTCTTGTTTGCAGGGTATCTGCCCTTAGACCTGGTTTGCTTCATACCTGAAGTTACCTCATGATTGCTGGTTGGGCCCTTTCTCCAAGGGTCTGGAATTTTAAAACCCGGCTTCTTGCTCTGTATAAACAAAATATTGAAAATTTAATTCACTTTTCACTGAAGTCCCTCCCTGTCTTACAGGTTCAACTCAGGTGCCACTTTCTCCCTAATTGAAAGTGAACTTTCCCTCCCAGATTTCTCTTTTGCAGTGACTGAACTTCTCTTTCCCAAGATCCCTTGCTCTCCTTTGTCTCCTTGTTAGATTGTGAATTCGCTGAGCCAAGCCTGTGTCTGTCTCTGGATCTCCAGAGCCTAGTACAGTCTCTCACAATTCGTAGGTTCTTAATTGATGGCTGCTCCATTAAACTCAAATAAATGTAGCAACTTCTAATGTTACAGCTAGGGCTGGGAAGCTTTTGTATTTTTTTCAAGTATCTACTATTGAATCTACTTTTTAACATGTCTTAAGCCTTATGATTCCCGGACAAAAGGCACATGGAGGGTTGTCCACTGAACCCTTCCATAGATAAATGGAAAGCCCTGGGTAGGATCTCATTCACAAGGAGGAGGGAAGCCAGGCCTGAGGCAATGGTATTTAAACACAGACTGTCTTGAAAAGGAAGAGAAGAGGAAGAATTCACCTGTGGAAAGAAAGAGGTGAACCCTTATCTTTTCAACTGAGCTCCCCTTAAAGCTTCTAATAATAAGGCCCAAATATCTCTTAGGCTATCATGGTAACTAAGAATGCCAGGAAAAACCAGTTAGATGAAGACACCATTTTTGCCACAGCAGGGACCCATTCTGTAGCTCCTCAGAGCATTGGAGTGTGGCTGCCATTCACAGAATGTGCTTCATTCACTGGGCCTCACGCCTTCTGACCTTCCCAGCAGCCCTGCAGGGAGGCGCTGCAGGTTTTATGCTCCTGTAGGAGGCCGTGTGGTGTGGTGGAAGGAGGGCTCTATTTGGAGTCAGAGGACTTGGGTTAAAATCCTAGCACTCATTGACAAGACCCTTAACTTTTCTTTAGTTTCATCAAATGTAAAATAAGGAGGCCAGACTAGATGACCTCAAAGGTCATTTCTATAAGCATGTAATTCCTCATTTTACAGATGAAGAAACTGAGGTTGAGAGATGTTAAGTGACTTCCGATAGCTACTAAATGTCAGCAGCAGGATGCAAACCCAGGTCCCTGCTGGCTCTGAGCCCAGAATTCTCCCTGCTATATCATGCTCACCTCTTCATAGCCTAATTTTGGACAATACTTCAAGAATCTCTCCAATGACAGACCAGAACCCCTCTGTCTCTTTATAAACCATCCTCATGGGTTGCTATGGCCCCCCAAAATCTGTTCCCTCCTCATCCTCTTTCTGGTGATGTGCCTCCCCATACTTAGGAAGGCTGGTCTTTGCATCGGCCATGGTCCAGGCATGGTCCACTCCATCCTTGCTGCTCTAACCAGAGCCTCTGCAGCATGGCGGGACTTACCAAGGCTTGTGCTTGGCTGACTTAGCCTTTGGAAACCCAGGCTCACCTCTGCAGCAGGATGAGAAATCAGAGAATGGCTGTTGTTGATGTGTGTGTGGAAAGGGCCATTCCCGCTGGGCTATGTTATGGACAGCATGGAAAGTTAGGGTGTGAGGCAGAAGAGACCTGGGCCTCATTTTGCCTCTCTGACACTGAATGGGGGACAACCGCAGGCTACTTACTTAAACACTGTGAGTTCCAGTTGATCAGGGCAATAGTGACAATGTACCTATCGAACCTACTTAACAAAGTCCTTGTCAAGACCCAATGAGAAAGCATATGTCATCAATATCAACTATTGGGAGTTATCTGTTGCCTCCTTTTTTCACTTTAGGCTGGTTGGCTTCCTGCCGCCCTGGAGCATGTTGGGAAGCTGTTTTCATCAGTTGGTAAGTGCTTAAAGAGTGCAAATCAACTTGGTTGTAACATAATTTGGAACATATGCCTGGCCCCCATTCCCAAATTTCATGAAAAAACCAAATGTAAATGAATTTTGGCTTATCTGCTCTTTAGGGAGAGGTAACTGTGACTTATCTTTATTCATAATCAGAGATATGATGGGCAATTTTGGTTACTTGAGGGGGCTATCTTTGTTTCTTCCATCAAAAAATGGTATGTAAAAATAAAAATAAATTATATGTTCCATTTAATCAAGTGTGATTAGTTTGAAAATACAGATGTGCCATTTAAAATGCAGATCAATCCTCTGTGATGTATTATATCATCAAGAGGGTGAGACACAAAAATACGAGATCAGATGAGAGGTGCTCCAGGTGGTGTATGTGGGGCCAGCAGGCCTGTCTGGGTCCCTTTGTAGAAGGTAGCTTGGATTCTTAGAGTAGACCAGAACCTTGTTATGTTGGATAGAGAGTAGAATTCAGCAAAAGATTATTCATCTTGGATCCTACCCAAGAAGGGTTAGTTATAACAGAAGTATAAAGAGTTAGCTATACCTGGCCCTGGAGAAGAGATGACAAAATGTACCTCCTTCCTTTATTGGAAGTGGAGGGAATGGAACTATGGGTGCTGAGCGCTGTCCATACTGTCAGACTTCACTGTTGTGTTGATTAGTTTTGCTGAATGTTTTTTTTTCCCTTCTTTATTACAAGGGAGGGCTAATGGGGGGGAGGAAACACACACACACATATATGAAGATGATGTAAAAGTAAAATCTATCAATAAGTTTCTTTAAAAAAAAAGGTAGCTATTAATTGTAAACTAATGCCATGCCACAGATTCCCAAGAACAGCATTTGAACGAAGTCCCAGTGTCTGACTGATCCATCTCTGGTTGCCCATACTTTTGTTTCCATAATAAATTAGTTTCCTGGCAGTCTTCCCAGTCTAGTGTTTGGGCCTATCTCAGCTCTGCCCTTCCCTCACTGGCTAACTTCCTTCCCGAGTCGGAGCCTGGGCCTTTTCCTATGTGAAAGGAGCTGTTGACGCTCAGCCACCCTCTTTGCTAGAGTTTGGTGAGGAAAGCACTTTGTAAGCCTTAAATCCCCAGAGAAATGGGAATTCTACTTGCCAGGGAGCTTTCAAGCTGAACATGTTTCGGGGCTGCTGGTCTCGTGGAGAAATGTTTTAGCCCAAATCTCGCCTCATTAAACTTTGAGTTCTCATTTTTCACTTGGGCCTCTGGATCTTTGAAGAAGATGGGCTGTTTTTTCAGCATGGTGGTAAATTCTGCTTTTTCCTAGTACAATTGATTGGAAAGAGCATGTTTTTAATTCACCTAAAACACACACACACAAATTCCTATCTCTGATATTTGAACCTTTGCAATTTTGGTCATTGAAAAGTGAGATGAAAAAAGGCTGCAATAAGCCTTAGAGGGTCTGAGCCTGTGGAAGGAAGGACCATGTTCCTCAGCCCCAGCCTTTATCAGAGCAGTGTCCCTGGGGACCTAGCCTGGAGCCAAAGGCGAACTTGCCACACCCTGGGCCCAGTGCAGGCAGAGGTGAAGGAGGTGTCAAGGGGCTCTGGCTGAAATCTGATTCAGAGGTACCAGGAGAATCTCCTAGCCATGAAAGGGCTTCTAAGGCCCAATAAAATCATCCCCAGAAGTCCTCAGATGAGTTCTGATTCCAGGATTGATTCTGGTTTGTTTTTTTTTAAAATGCAAGGAAACCCCTTTATCCAAGTTGATAGCAAAACACAGAAATTGGAGAAAGCATCTATGTGAGGAATAAGTATACCAGGCACTCCAAAGTGAAGGAACTCTTCCTTTGGGAGTGAGAGAGCTGAACTCAACCAGGAGAGAGAATCTGGGCTCTTGTCCAAGGGAAAGCTTCCTCAAGTCTTTGTTGGTGCAGTTAGCTGGGGAAGGACTGGGACAGGATTCTCAACTGGACTTCCCCGTAGTCCCCCTGCCTACTCTTTCCTTGTAACTGAAACTAGATGGCTAGAAGGAAGGGCCCAGTCTACATTTTTCTTACTTGGCCATCTTCTGTTAACTTCAACTCCTGGATAAACCTGTTTTTCTGATGCACCTTATTTCTTTGCTTTCTGGTCTCCAGTGGTTTCTTTTTCTTCTTTGGTTTCTTCTTCTGGTCAAGCTATTCCAGAAAAAAAAAGAGAGAAAATCTTCAGACATTTATGATCCCTCAACTAAGTGATATCTTTGTTTAGGAGACCCACTCCAACAAGGCATGAAAAACCTTTTCCTCATTCTGACAACACAAGTGTATGAGCGAACAGAAGAAGTATCAAAGGGATATTGAGAAAAGATTGTTCTGATGGTTTTGCTAAAGCACATGTTCTTTTCTTCTTAAAAAACGTAAATAGCTTTATGTGGTTTTGTTCCTCTTTTGTTTCTATTTGTTGAGTGTAAAGTTTATAATGTTTTCCTTTATTCTAAACAGAAATTATCAACAAAAAATAGAAGGAAATTCAAATTGAAATACACAAGGAAAAAAATTAAAAGTATTGAACATGAAACTGTGACCTTCATTATTTAGAGTTGTTTTAAAAAAAAACAATTAGTGTAATAAAATTAGTGTCAACTAATTTTTTTTTTTTTTGGTGAGGCAATTGTGGTTAATTGACTTGCCCAGAGTCACACAGCTAGTGAGTATTATGTGTCTTAGGCCATATTTGAATTCAGGTCCTCCTGACTCCAGGGCTGGTGCTGAGCCACTGTGATACCTAGCTGTCCCTTCAACTAATTTTTAAAATTGTTTTTATAAATTTAACATTGAACAGTAATTTAACTAAACTTGCCTAATAACTAAATTAATTTCAATATACAAAGTATAACAACTTGGTGCTTTAAGATTCTACCAGGATTCTTTGTACATTCTTTGTCATTTCTTTTTCTTCAGTCAGGTCATAGTTAGTGTTTACTCTTTTTGAGTTGGTTTTTTGGTTTTGTCCTATTCCACTAGAGACTTACCAGATTTTTAAAAATTTTTCATTCTTATTGGTCTTAATTACATTATGGTATTCCATTACATGAATGTACCACAATTTATTTAACCATTCTTCTATTGGTGGATATTTATGTTGCTTCTACTTTTTTGCAACTAAATCAAAATAATTATTTTTAAAGAAGAGTCACTTCTTTTTTTTTTAATTTTATTAATTTATTTTGATTTATCAACAATCACTTCCATATGCTTTTGAGTTTAAAATTTTTCTCCCACTTCCTCCCCCCCACCCTCCCCAAGACAGCACACAGTCTGATATAGGCTTTACACTTACATTCATTCCTATTAAACATATTTTCACATTAGTGAAGTTGTAAGTAAAAATTGAAACCAGTAGGAGGAACCATCAGAAAGAGGAAACAAAACTCAACAGGAGAGAAAAAAAATGATAGCGATTCAACTTCCATAGTTCTTTCTTTGGATATGGATAGCATTTTCCATCACATGGCCTCTGGAGATGTCTTAGATCCTTGTAATGCTGGGAAGGGTTAAGTTTGTCAATATTAGTCATCTCACAACGTTGCTGTTATTATGTACAACATTCTCTTGGTTCTGCTCACTTCACTCAGCATCAGACCATACAAGTCTTTCCAGGTTTTTCTGAAGTCTGACTGCTCATCATTTCTTATAGCACAATAGTATTCCATTACATTCATATACCACAACTTGCTCAGCCATTCCCCAATTGATGGGCATCCTCTCAATTTCCAATTCTTTGCCACCACAAAAAGAGCTGCTATGAATATTTTTGTACATGTGGGTCCTTTTCCCATTTGTATGATCTCTTTGGGATATAGCCCTAGAAGTGCTATTGCTGGATCAAAGGGTATGCACATTTTATAGCCCTTTGGGCATAGTTCCAAATTGCTCTCCAAAATGGTTGGATCATTTCACAACTCCACCAACAATGCATTAGTGCTCCAATTTTCCCACATCTTCTCCAACATTTATCATTTTCCTGTTTTATCATGTTGGCCAATCTGATAGGTGTGATGTGGTACCTCAGAGTTGTTTTGATTTGCATTTCTCTAATCAATAACGATTTAGAGCATTTTTTCATATGACTATAGATGGCTTTAATTTCTTCATCTGAGAACTGTCTGTTCATATCCTTTGACCATTTATCAATTGGGGAATGGCTTGTATTCTTATAAATTTGTCTTAATTCTCTATATATTTTAGAAATGAGGCCTTTATCAGAGAGACTGGTTGTAAAAATTCTTTCCCAATTTTCTACCTTCCTTCTAATCTTAGTTGCATTGGCTTTGTTTGTGCAAAAACTTTTCAATTTAATGTAATTAAAATTATCCATTTTGCTTTTCATGATGTTCTCTATCTCCTGCTTGGTCATAAATTCTTCTCTTCTCCATAGATCTTATAGGTAAACTATTCCTTGTTCTCCCAGTTTACTTACAGTATCAGCCTTTATATCTAAGTCATGAACCCATTTTGACTTTATTTTGGTATATGGTGTGAGATTTGGGTCTATGCCTAGTTTCTGCCATACTCTTTTCCAGTTTTCCCAGCAGTTTTTTTCAAAGAGTGGGTTCTTATCCCAGAAGCTGGGTCTTTGGGTTTATCAAATAATAGATTACTATAGTCATTGACTACTGTGTCTTGCATATTTAACCTATTCCACTGATCACTCCCTCTATTTCTTAGCCAGTACCAAGCAGTTTTGATGATTGCTGCTTTATAATACAATTTAAGATCTGGAATTGCTAGGCCACCTTCCCCTGCATTTCTTTTCATTAGTTCCTTTGATATTCTGGACCTTTTGTTTTCCAAATGAATCTTATTATTATTTTTTCTAACTCTATAAAATAATTTTTGGTAGTTTGATTGGTATGGCACTGAATAAGTAAATTAGCTTAGGTAGGATTGTCATTTTTATTATATTAGCTCGGCCTACCCATGAGCAACTGATGTTTTTCCAATTATTTAGATCTGATTTTATTTGTGTGAAAAGTGTTTTGTAATTGTGTTCATAGAGTTCCTGGGTTTGTTTCGGGAGGTAGACTCCTAAATATTTTATAATGTCTACAGTAAGTTTAAATGGGATTTCTCTTTCTATCTCTTGCTGTTGGGCTTTGTTGGTAATATATAGAAATGCTGATGATTTATGTGGGTTTATTTTATAGCCTGCAACTTTGCTAAAGTTGTTTATTATTTCAAGTAGTTTTTTACTTGATTCTCTAAGTATATCATCATGTCATCTGCAAAGAGTGATAGCTTTGTTTCTTCTTTGCCTATTCTAATGCCTTCAATTTCTTTTTCTTCTCTTATTGCTAAAGCTAAGTTTCCAGTACAATATTGAATAACAGTGGTGATAATGGACATCCTTGTTTCACCCCGATCTTATTGGAAATGCTTCTAGCCTGTCCCCATTACATATAATGCTTGCTGAAGGTTTTAGATAGATGCTATTTATTATTTTAAGGAAGACTCCATTTATACCTATGCTTTCTAGTGTTTTTAATAGGAATGGGTGTTGTATTTTTCAAAAGCTTTTTCTGCATCTATTGAGATGATCATGTGGTTTCTGTTGGTTTTGGTGTTGATATGCTCAATGATGCTGATAGTTTTCCTAATATTGAACCAACCCTGCATTCCTGGTATAAATCCTACCTGGTCATAGTGTATTATTCTTGTGATAAGTTGCTGCAATCTATTTGCTAGTATTTTGTTTAAAATTTTTGCATCTATATTCATTAGAGAAATTGGTCTATAATTTTCTTTCTCTATTTTGACTCTTCCTGGTTTAGGTATCAACACCATATTTGTATCATAAAAAGAATTTGGTAAGACTCCTTCTTCACCTGTTTTCCTAGATAGTCTATATAGTATTGGAATTAATTGTTCTTTAAATGTTTGATAGAATTCACATGTAAATCCATCTGGCCCTGGAGATTTTTTCCTAGGGAGTTCATCAATGGCTTGTTCAATTTCTTTTTCTGAGATGGGGTTATTTAAGTATTTTACTTCCTCTTCTGTGTTAATCTGGTCAATTTATATTTTTGTAAATATGTATCCATTTCACTAAGATTGTCGAATTTGTTGGCATATATTTGGGCAAAATAATTCCTAATTATTGTTTTAATTTCCTCTTCCTTGGTGGTAGCTTCACCCTTTTCATTCTTGATACTAGGAATTTGGTTTTCTCCTTTCTTTTTTTAAATTAAATTAACCAAAGGTTTATCTGTTTTATTGGCATGTTGTCTCATTATTGTCATTCTCTTGAATGAAATTATTGATTGTTTCTATGATTTGTTGTTTGACCCAATCACTTTTTAGGATTAGATTATTTAGTTTCCAATTATTTTTTAGTCTGTCTTTCCATGGCCCTTTATTACATATAATTTTTATTGCATCATGATCTGAAAAGGATGCATTTAATATTTCTGCCTTTTTGCATTGGATTGTGAGGTTTTTATGCCCTAGTACATGGTCAGTTTTTGTGTATATGCCATATACTGCCGAGAAAAAAGTATATTCCTTTCTATCCCCATTCAGTTTTCTCCAGAGGTCTATCATACCTAACTTTTCTAATGTCCTGTTCACCTCCTCAACTTCTTTCTTGCTTATTTTGTGGTTAGATTTAGCTAGTACAGAGAGGGGGAGGTTGAGGTCCCCCACTAGTATAGTTTTGTTGTCTATTTCTTCCTGTAACTCCCTGAACTTCTCCTCTGAGAATTTGGATGCCATACCATTTGGTGCATATATGTTTAGTAATGATATTACTTCATTGTCTATGGTGCCTTTTAGCAGGATGTAGTTTCCTTCCTTATCTCTTTTGATTAGATCTGGTTTTGCTTCGCTTTGTCTGAGATCAGGATGACTACCCCTGCTTTTTTTACTTCAGCTGAAGCATAATATATTTTGCTCCAGCCTTTTACTTTTACCCTGTGTATATCACTCTTTTTCAAATGTGTTTCCTGTAAACAATATATTGTAGGATTACGGTTTTTAATCCATTCTGCTATCTTGTTTGTGTTTTATGGGTGAGTTCATCCCATTCACATTCACAGTTATGATTACTATCTGTGTCTTTTTCTCCATCCTTTTTTCCCCCTGTCTATGCTTTTCTTTCTCCTTCCCCCCAACTAGTGTTTTTGCTTTTGACCACCGCC